TAATAATCTCTAATTAATTTTTCTTTCTACATATGTCCATAAAAATAACAAACTCTCACTTGTTGATTGTGTCTGACTATTTAAGATAAGTGAATTCTTTGCTGAACAAGGTTTATTTACTGTCCTGGTTCATATAAAGATAAACTTATTCTGCATTTTGAGAGAGAGGTATTACAAATATTCCAACAAATGAGACATGCAATAAACAAACTTAAGCAAATTATATCGCTCTGGAACACATAAGATGTAATGTACCAGTTGAAATAGCATGTATTATGAAAGTAAGGAATATATGCTGGAATATAGGTTTGTCTAGAATAAATTTTTGGCACATTTCTTCCAATTTTTTTTTTACTTTGATTTCCACTAAAAAATATTATTTTTGTAAAGGCTTATAAAATTTTATTTTTGTAAAGGCTTATATTATAAATGAAGTTGGGTTAAAACAAAAAAAAATGAAAATGATGTGGAAAAAACATGTGTAATACCTAACAATGGATAATAATGTTTTGTGACAAAAATGTAATTTTAGAATGTTTTACTCTGTGCAAAAATGTAAAACGTGTATTGAAATAATTAGGAAATCTTTTATTCGATATAGTTTTCTAAAACAGTCACATCAGATTGAACTCATTGCTTGTAGAAATAAAAAAAATTCATAGAAATTCCACGACTGAACTAGTAATACAGCAAGTTAATACATGTAGTAGATAGAAAGTCATGCCATAGTGAGAAAAAAAAATGTACTGTACTTTTCACAGTATGACATATATTAAAACTGTAATGCATACTGTATGACATAAATTACAGCTGTACTGTTTACAGTATGACATATATTTATAGGGTACTGTTTACAGTATCGCATATGTTATGAATGGTTGTACTGTGTACAGTATGACATATTACAGCTGTACTGTTAACGGTATAACATTTGACGAATAGGGGGTTCAGGCTCGTTGATTGCATCTTGATGAATGTCACTAACCATTAAACCTTCTTATTACAGACCAAACATCTGTGACTGTTGCTGTAATATGCGGATGTCTTGTCGTTTTGCTGGTGCTGATAATTATTGTTGTAATCTGGTTAAGGAGCAGAAGAACTATTGTTGTCAGGTAGTGTCTAGAGACACAATTATAATTCAACTCCCAGTGCAAACGATTGTCTGAAATGAGAGAGAGAGAGAGAGAAGTAAATCGCACAAAGCGTTGCATAGTTTTAAATAATCTTGCGTTTAATGGTGGAAGATGATCTTTTTCTTTTACATTGTAGACACTTAGTACTGACCGAAGATGATGATGATGACCTCATTTTGAACATGGATACAATGGACGACATGACAGTCGAAGAACCAACTTTCACATACAAATAATGAAATCAGTATATCTGTTGATTTTCTTATGCTTCGTGCGTTTTGTGTGTATGTGTGTGTTTTGTTTTATTCTGATGGTAATATTTTAGAAAAAAACATTTAAGAACGTCTACACGCTTTACACTAATTTTATTTTTGTTTTCTGATTATAATTATTTACATATTTATAGTATTTTTATGTATTACAAATTATTCTGTAAGAAAATTAACGTTTAGAACATGTACTAAGATGTTTCAATACACATGAAGTATTTTTTTTTTGTATTTAGTCCTCGTTTCTATTAAAATTGTTATAGGACAATAAAATAAGCATATACTCTTCCTTATCGTAATTTTTACATATCATTGAATATCATTTTCCATGTATGATAGGAATATTTTTAATATATTTTTTTTAAATTTTCCATGTACATGTGTGACAGTAATATTTTTTTGTGTAATTTTTAATAGGGCATATGTACATTACTATACAATTATTGCCGTTTCTGAGGTCAATACGATGATTTCACCACCTGAGAGTACAATAATTCACCGAGCCCAAAAGGCGAGGTTAATATTCTACTTCGAAGGTGGATTAATCATCATATTGACTGGAAAAAACCCAGCAATAATTGTTTTATTATATGATTCAATGATTCAATGATACAAATTCATTAAGCAATCTATGCTATCTTGTTCATATTTTACATTTGCTGAAGTCGTAGCCAAATGCAATGAGAGAAGCGGGGTTAAAATAAACATTACCAGTTGTATTAATTTGGATTTTTTTTAATCTACTTCATGTGCGATGTAGAAAAAATAAATGTCAGGCACATATTTAGAATCGATTTTTAAAAGGGTGTTGGGGTATTATAAGGGGGAAAATGACAGCTTACCTGAAAAAAATCTTTGACTAGCCTCCCCCCTCCGCCCAAAAAGGAGATTCTCCCAACTCCAAATTTTATTTCGTGGTGAGGGATGAGGTTTAAGGTCCAAAAAAAGATCACTATGTTCAAAATTCATAAAGGGAGTGTTCCTGAGTATTTGAGTAATATTGTCCCCAACAAGCATGAAAATGTATCAAAATATGTATCAAAATATATACCCGTAATAAAGAACAGTTTATTGTCCCAAGATGTAGATTAGAAGTATACAAAAGGTATTTTGTACCAGATGCTGTTAAACAGTGGAATGTATTAAAAGTAGAAGCGAGAGAAGCCATCTCAATTAATTCATTCCGTAAAAACTTATGTACTATTACAAAAGTCAGCAATCCGCCAACATATTTTTCTTTTGGCATGGCCGTAGGAACGGGGGGGGGGGGGGCGCACGGAATACTATAGAAAACTTAGCTATTATATGCTTGTGCCCCCTCAATAAAAACGGCTGATGACTTTTTGTTCATGTGGTAAATACGAAGATATTTATCATTTCTTTTTTGCATGTAGAAATTATCCAAATGCTAGAAATAAGCTTTTTAACCGCCTCTTTTTGCTTGACGAGTTGGTCAATATTGACACATTTTTGTTACTTTGGGGTGACACAGATTTGCCTCTACAAACTAATCACACAATTTTTGCTGCTGTCCATAAATTTATTGATGAAACCTGTAGATTTTAAATTGCTATGTTATTGAACAGAACTTTCAATTATGTTACTTGTTACATTAATATTTCTCTGCATATGTTTTATTTGCATGACAATTGTTTAATTTAAGGAGAGGAACCAGTAAGTTGTAAGAACTTGTTTTGATCCATTTGCTTTTGTCAATAAAATATGTTCAAAACAAAACAAAACATTAGTTGGAGGCCATTCTTTCAATGAATATTTTTATATTTCAATTAAAAGTAAATATTTACCTTCAGAAAAAAAAGATATGGGGAGAGGGGAAGTCCCCCTGCACCCTCCCACCCCACAATTTATTCTATATTCCTGAATGTAACGTCCACCTGAGTGGAAGTCGAGTGTAAATGAAAAAGCTTTCCAAAATTATTTGTATTAATTTGGAATTTCCTGATCTATTTTTATTCCAATGTAGAAAAAAATATATCCTTATGGTCACCTAGAGGGTCACATTGAGGTGAATACAACGAAGTATTTTTTCTAGATGTAGCATCTCAAGCAATCGGAGAAATAGGAATTATTCAATTGTATAATAAAACTAAATCACACTTTGAATAAGCTGAAACACCAGTAAAACATGCATTGTTGACGTGAACTTCATTAAATCATCAAAATGCATACAAACGTAATTATGCTACGTGTAAATATAAGGTCTATTAAAAAAGGACAAGAAAAAGGTTTAACAATCATTGCAGAATGTGAGTATAATTGGATGTCATGTTAGGGACAAGTTTTCAAAATCCATTTTTTTTTAAAATTTCTTGGTTACATTTTTTTCATACTTTTTGGTATGAGTATTAGTACATTGTATAACGCAGTGATCATTTACGTGTCACAAAATGGGATAAAAATATCTATTAATGAGGCTGTGTTCTTGTTTTACAGATATTCAGTTCTAAACGGGCAGTGCTTTAGATTGCGTTTGTTCACAAGTTATGACGACTAAGTTAATTCAAAATTTTCATGATACAGAGATGTAGTTTGAGTAGGATTGGCCTATTTTGAATGTGGTAGATGCTGTTTAAATTTGTTGGCGGAGTATAGGTACGGCCACACCTATTTTTTTCATATTCTAATCTAAGCTTATTATGTCTAAGTTTTGTGATTTGATTATGTAGTATATTTTATAACCTGGGCAATTGAAGGCTTATTTTGCGTGTTTACGTGAGATAAAAGACACGTGCGTTTCTTGACTATAGGAAACGGGGGGGGGGGGGGTGTCCCCAATAATTTTGCCGATACACATGTAGTATTCTACAGAAAACATAGCTACTTTATGTTTAACCCACCTCAATAATAAGTTTGATGACTTACTGGTTTTTTGCTTGTTTGTTTGGTTTTTTTTGCAGGTCAAGGAATCTTTGCTTGGAAGTACTTCCCAAACTGAAAATGTTTGCCCCCCCCCCCCCTTGCTTCATAAGGACCATGCGTTTTGCAATGTTGCTTTGAAAGTATGATTAGTACCGTTTTTGAAACAATACCAGGTCCTAATGATAAATGTTGCAAATATACGATATTTTCCCTGTTTTAATTTGTAAGATAAACTCGAGGAACTTTTGTCGTTTGTTTACACCAGCAATACAAAAAAATATATTGTTAAAATATTCAGCATTTTCATGATTATAAAAAATGCAAACAAGATGTTCACCAAAATATTCTTTATTATACATATACGTTGTTAAATATGTTTCTAAATCTTTTATTCTAATTTCTTTATCATCATGACTTTTAGTCACTGGTTTAGGTTATCAAAAATGCAGGATGAACAAAATATTCTTGTAATACAAAGTATTCTTAATATATTCTTGTAAAACAAAGATGCTTAAAGGGGGGATGACCATTGCACAAATTATTCATATAATCATTTTTATAAATAATACATAGAATACAAAAACAAGGAACAAACAAATTACAAATACATTAATACTGACATTGTTGATATTAATGAAAGGCATGATATTTGAGGTAGGGAATTGTGCAGTTGTAATTCATTTTCTTAACATTTTCCAAAAGTGTTTTGTTTCATTTAAAATTTCTTCTCGGCCCAGGCAGTGTAAGGAGGGGGTGGACTCTGTTTGCAACCAACTATACTCCGACTCGCCCAGGTTCCCATTTGTTCGTTTTTCATTTGAGACCTTGAAATAAATTTCAGTAGTTAATTGCATATCTTTGTTAATTTTAAATAGCAAATAGCTTATAAATACGGGTATCGTAATTTGGTACCTTTTGATATGTCTGTAGATGAAAAAGATGACAAATGATGCCACTAATACAATCATACATAAAGTGGCGCTAACACAAACGATTAGAAGAGTGTTGTTCCCTTCATCTGAAAATAAAGAGACACTTGTTTTTCTTCTGCAATCCCTAATGTCGTTGAATAAATTAAAAGGATATTTTAATTCAAATTTAAGATTTCAAGATTTCACCGTTTATCGTTTATGGAATTTACTTTTTCAGCCATTGTCATACAGTTGATTTTTACTAAATAAACGAAGTTAAGAAATAAGTAAGATATGATATACTACAGTGAAACACGGTTAAAACGAGCAAGCTTACAATGAATTCAGGCTTTACTGTAAAATAATTTTCTTTTCTCGTATTTTTCAAAGATTATAACGAATTAGTGTTATAACAAATCACAATCATTTATCCATGGCACTACACTAAATGCGCCTTTTACTGTAGAAAAAAGGTACTTACATCCGTCCTCACTTCCGTTCCTTTCTTTATTCATGGAGGATGTATCTGTGCTTGGTACTATTTGGAAACAAATGCACTTACATAATTTTTTTTTTTATAATTTAAAACAAAAGTTCCATAAAACTCAACTGATTTTAACCTTACCTGAACAAGCGGACGAATCCTGACTAGCAACATAATTTGTGGTATAACCACTTGGACAATTTTTACAGGATGTTTTACCAGACACGTCTTGATAAGTCCCTATAGGACATACCTGACAAATCCTGGATGACAGGTAAGTTCCGCTTGGACACTCCACTAAAACAGAGTCAATCTGTTTATAGTAGCAAGAATTATCCTTAACATACATAAATGGATCGAGACAAGAGTGGAAGGGGAGCTACTTAATAACATCTTACCACAAAGACTTCCAGAAGTTCCCAAACTGTTTTCACATTGAACGAGGTTGGATAATGACACAGAGGAGGAAGAAAACGTTATTCCATTGGCCAGGAAAGTGAACAAACTGAAGGTAGAGTTGAGCTGTCTAGAAGAAGCCTCTATCTCCTCCATTGCAGTTATCAGTTCCGCCAAAGGTTGACTTGCTGTAGAAAAAGTTCAGTTCTTATTTACATTCCAGTTACTTTCCTGATAAATTTTTGAATTTTATTCCAGCAAGTTAACACAGAACTGTAAATGAGCTGTAAATAAAAATCATTCAGATCCGAGATGTTATTAATTAGATGGATATTGGATTTGATGATTTCTGAAGGATTTATGCAAAAAAATCTCAGGTAAGTCACATTTGCTTCAGTTCTATGAATACATGATGTTAATGACTGTTTTTGATATCACTGATCCAATTCGAATAAAAACAATTCAGTGTGAGTATACTAGAGACTTACTATTTTGGTAGGATTGATAAGACGCCAAATCAATGTCAGTGTTTAGGAATGTAACCGAGAGAGTCAACACTATTTCACCAGTGGATGATCTCCTTTTACGCCCGATTGACGAACAACCTTTCGTTTTAATAAAAAAAAAAGTATCTATATATAATCCACTTGTTCTTATTTATTTGAATTTATTCAGATATAAAGCAACAAAAACTAAGAAATAACATGTAATATTACAGCATTTATTCAATAAAGATCCAATACCGGGTATGCAAAAAAAATTGTCAAATACCCAGTATATCAACTTGTACATCGCAGATGTTGTTGAGTACACATTGCAAACCACTTTGCAGGTTGTTTTTCAAAGCTTGAGAGACAGTGGCACTTTCATCACAGGGAAGGATTTGATGGTAAGATACTTTGGACGTTACTATTATCTTCTGAGGACCGTATCCGCCTGCAAATTATCAGTAATACATGTATTACCGGTAATAACTGTTAAAACGTCTGCAAATGAAGCTTAAAATTCAAATAACTTTTTTATGTAACTTACGACCGCATGCTGGGGGAATACCATTCCATTTATAAGCAGTATCTGGACCACACTTGTACTCTGATAAAGGTAGATTTGTTTCTGAGAAGATCAAACCATGTCGACAAGAAAGGGAGCACACAATGTTTCCGTCTTGTTTAGTCGTACAGTTTGATAACGTTCCAAATGATTTTGGAAACAAGGGACACACTGCAATGAAATTTAATAAAACATACCTGATTTTTTAAAAAAAATTAATCATATTGTGTTTTAACCATTTTTACTTTTTTGTAAGGATGAATTTTCATTATTATTTACCAGGACATTGATCCGTATTGCATGATATGGTCTCTGAAGAAAACTGTGGATTACAGGGTATACCGTCTGGATCTGGAGACGGGCTATTGCACTCTCGAGTTCTCGACTTTGTGCCGCCATTACAGGAAGCTGAACATGCCGTATACTCGGTCCATTCACTCCAACCACCATTTACTAACAACAAAAGAACTTTAATTACTGCATGGTCAGGCTTACTAGATGGGAGGGTTCATCAAAATTTATCATTTGGAAATTTTAAACTGTTCAATGGATATTTTTAGTCGTATTACCTATTTTAGTTTCACATCTTTCTCCACGATATCCAGATGGACAGATACAGGTAAAATTAAATTCATTGCTTTGACAGGTGCCAAAATTTTTGCAAGGAGTTCCGGAACAAAAATCCGGCTTGATTTGACATTTTTCACCTGTGTATCCATTTGTACATTTACACACAAAACTATTTACGCCATCTAAACAGGGATGCCCATTACATGGATTAGGACTGCATTGATCTGAAGCTTTAAATAAGAATTAACATTATATATATATATATATATATATATATATATATATATATATATATATATATATATATATATATATATATATATATATATATATATATAATCAGCAACTGCTATTAACTTTTTACAGGAATTATTTATACAGGAGATCATTTAAGAAAATCTGGGAATTCTTTTTTCTTTTCTTGATTTGTTTTCATTACCATCACAGAGACTGGGCACAGCTATGGCGGCCCGTTTTACAACATCTGTTGTTAGATTGGTCAGAGATTGCAGCGTGACATGACAGGTTGATGCATACTGTGCTATTTCAGAATCAGTAGAAACACCACTTAATATGTGATATCCAGATAACATAATACCTAAAAAAAAAAAAAAAAAAAGAACAGGTTAGACAAGGAAATATTAAAATACCTACTTACGAAATTTCTATTTAAAGTTTTTTTTAAAATAAAATTTGTACCATTTAGATCCTCCTGGTATAGTTGTAAAGAAACAGAGGATTGGGAGTCTATCAAAAATGTACCAGCTGCCACAGAAATTGGTGACGTAAACTGTTTTTCACCATCCAGAAATATGTGCGTCTTTTGATTTGTTGTATCAAGGACAAAGGCAACATGGACCCATTGATCAAAGGTAAGAGTCACATTAGAAAGAATTTCATGTCTGTAAAAGCATAATTTTGCATTTTAGGCCAGCATTTATATTTTGTTGATAAAGTATAAGTGGTATTCAGTAAAATAAAGTAGTCGTGAGCAATAAATATTTTGATATTGGTATTCTTACCCATTTACAATAGTAGCAAATTGATCTTTGTACACTATCTCTATGTCTAAGGGCGTAACTCCAGCTTTGTATAGTGCAATTTTATTATCAGCCTTTGTTATTTTCATCCACGTTGTAATTGTTAATGCAGTTTCTCCTGAGGTTAGATTGCTTGGAAAAATAATATTGTCTCCCGATTGCTTGAAGACGACATCGAAATCTGAAGGAGATTGTAAAATCAGCTGATTTATTTATGTAAGCTATGACTGTGAGTGTCTTTGCAGTTTCTCCTAATGAAACCTAATTTTTATATGCAAAATATTTTCCTTTTCCACTAAAAAAAAATTCTAAAAACAAATTTATCAACGAAATATTAATAATTAGTACATTCTTTGTCATATGAACTTCATACAATGTTTAATTTTGCTACCTTTGCAGTCAGTAATAGATACACTTCCGGATGACGAGGTTTTTCCAGGGGGACACGCTAAGCAAGATGTAGCCATAGACTGAGACTGGTAAGTGGATCGTGGACAAGGTACACAGGGAACAAGGCCTGTACCTGAATACTGACCTGGCTTACACTTGTCTGTAAAAAGAGTAAGTATAAAATAAATATCTGATTCTAGAATCCCTAAGCAGCAAATCAAAATTAAACTAAAGTGAAGGTACTTCACATATTACAGATGTCTTGTTGAGCCACGTGATTTTGTTTTTGTTTCAGCTTGTTTCATAATTGCGTATTATTATTTTTTTATTTACATTTACGTTTTTATGTCCCTAATCTAATTGTTTATTTGTGTGTTCATAGAATGCTATTACTGTAGATTGCTCAATTTACGCGAATACTTAATACCGCGAAAAGAATTAAGTAGACGTCGAATCACAAGAATATGAATTCGCGAAATGACTGTTCACTAGGAGGTTTTACATGTATTACAACAATGTTAAAGTAAAAGCTATTAATTTATTTTGCGAGTGGTGTTTCTCGCGATATTGAATTCCTTGCGTATATTTATTATACAGTTCAATAGAAATAGGAATTTATAACATGTGATTTTAATTTCTCTAATACAATTAGCGTGAATCAATGTCCCATTTTACCTATACAATCATCAAAGCTAGTTGAGGCATAACTCAGAGTAGAAGTTCCTGCCGGACATTGTGTACATGAAATGGCCTCCTCAGTGTCCTTATAAGTACCTAATGGACAATCACGACAGCCAGGTCTCCATGGATCCGCGGTGTCCAAATAATTACCAACAGAACAAGGCACTGCAATATAATTCGTCGTGTTGACCAAAAGAAACAATGTATTTTCTTCAGATTATCTATAATAATACTTCGTTTGTTTGATAGAACTTCATGTTTGTTTTAATGTGACTAAGTACAGAAACGCCGGCTTTTCTTGCTTGCAAATCTCTTACATGGTCGACATAATTTAAATTTAAAAGACCTGACTTTGTCACGAAGTTAAATAATATCCACCCAAAATATATGTGAATTATACTTTTTCAGATTGATTTTAAAAGCATGTTATCAACAATAATGATTATGTTTACCACAAGTCAAAGTACTCCAGCGAATTGCTGTTCCATTGGGACAGAACGGGTCACTGTATCCAAGCTGGAAACTATTAATATCAGGTGAAAGACCTCTCACTGTTAGATTGCCGTAGCTTCCTAGTTGTTTAATAACATTAAACATTTTAGTTTGTATGTCTTCAAGGAAGTAGAATGTGTCTCCATTGGATGAGTTAAAGTTGTGCCAGGAGGTTGTCAGTGTAAATTCGACACGTATCTCATGAGTGCTTCTTTTCCTTAAACCGTGCCTTTCACGCTCCATATCATGTGTACTTTTCTTTACTCGTGTCTGACCACACGTAACAACTGTGTTGTCAACGTTACACTCAGTCTGGGAGGGACACACCCCTCCAAATCCACTCACTTCCTTCTTTTGCATGTGCTTAATAAAATTGCCTTTGATTTCTGTCAGAACACTGTCATCGTTACAGTCACCAGTATAATTATAGTAGAAAAACTCGCCCAGGACACCTGTTCTTGTTGGATTCTTTCGAACTAGTTAATGAGACGTCATTTAAGAAATAAATAACAAGTTTAAAAACTTCACTGGGAAATGAAGTGGGTCGGTCACGTGATCAAATCCTGTGAAGGCCGAAGGCCTTCTCAGTAGATTTGACCACATACCGACCCACTTCATTTCCCAGTGAAGTTTTTTTTTAAACTTGTTATTTATCACTTGCATATACATTTGTAGATTTTTTGTCAAAATTGCGCAAGGTGTAAATCGGCTTGAAAAGCGGTAACGCTTCGAATATTCACCTGGTAAAGGGTTCTTATTCGAAGAGAATATTCTGTAAAAGGGTATTTGTGATCAATAATAGTGAGCACATTGTTGTCTGGGATTTTTTTGTTTTTGTGAGACCGATATATTCGATGTTGAAAAGGCGCAAGAAACTCGTCCGATATTTGATAAGAAAGGGAAGAATTTCGGTATGGAGACACTAGGCTGAGCCAGTTAATTTTATTAGACCAAAACATTATATCTACGATTTCAGTTAAGCATATTCTGATATTTATTATGATGTAGACACAGAAACACTGGCGACAGCTTACATTGTAAACATGGTTAAGACAACGCTCTCGATTGTTTGCCGAAAATGTTTGTGGCATGTCTGCATTGATATTTTCCAGGAGATTTGCAAATTCATCGTGCTTAAAGTTAAACGAAGAAAAATATACCATTCAGAGTTTAGAATGATGATTAAACTAAAGGACTACAGGAAAATAAGGAAAGACGTAGAGTTTCGTGCTCTCTGCATGTTTATGTAATGGAGAGAGATACCAAAAATATATATATTAACAATTGTAGCGTGTATGCATTTTCTATTATTCAGTTTTTCCTCAAAGAACAATAAACACAATAAAGCAATATTTTCTGATTACCTGTGCAGTTTGGTACAAAGTTTGAAGGCATGAATGTCCCTTGACGATCAGTACAAGTAAAAGCACCGGTGAACGACCCACCGTTTGTTCCAGCGGTCCCGAAAGGAATGTCGTATTTACTGGAACACTGCATTTGGCAATGACGACCATACAACCACGTGTCACAAACAATAGCGCCATTAAGTGGTGCGGGGAGAGGATCACAAGGGTTTTCTATTAATTCAAACGTATATAGCTAAGATATATGTTAATACCATGTGTAATAGTATCTTCTAATTCGTCGGTTTATATATACTGGAACAATAAACTAAATCTTAACATCTGGCAAGTAAGCGTTTTTGAACAGTATAAATAAGCATAACTCTGGAAATAAAACATTATTTACTTTGACAGTAAGGAACAGATCCTCCCATATCCCAGAATCCTTTAGGTGGTGACACAGTTTCATTTTTCTCGCAGGTTATGTTGTTTTGTCCTATTAAGGGAAAGACACTCTTGCATCCAATATTGCAAACTGAGCCATAAGTGTATCCCTCTGGGCATCCAATTGTCATATATGAATCAGGAATATTTGGCGGCTCACAAATTATTTCTGTAAAACATTAGGAAATTAAGACAGCTAATAGATGCACTATAATATTTGTAAATTCATATTAAATAATGATAATGAATTCGAGAACAACGTATCACATTATTTTTATAATCACTTACCTTCCACGGTCACAAAGAAAGTACATTCTGGCGAGGCATTTCCATCCAAATCAAATGCTACATATCGAACCTCTGTAATCCCCACCGGGAACAGAGTTCCACTGGGCGGTCCTTTTGTTTGATTGACAAATGACGTTCCAGAATTGTCTTCGGCAAATGGTGTGGCCCACACAACAGGGTCCGACTGGCTATTTTTATTGGAATAAGTGACAATATTTGCTGGGCAGTTTTTCAGAGATGGAGGTTGAACATCTATTAAAAGAGCAAGATATATTTATTTAGCAAGATTCTCTTTTCTTATTCAGTTTTCAAGGAGGTTTATATTTTGCAATAATGAGTAAGAGCAAAATTAGTTTAATCTGTGTAAAGACTAGTACTCATATGTAAAATGATATTTGATGAATTGTCAAAATATTTCTGATATTATATGGTGTTTTCACTAACTAATTTTTACCAAGGTATGTATTTGATATACCTTTGCAAGTTGATATTTTATTGGACCAGGTTTTGTCTTCATTACATACAGTACTATTTCCTGTCACGTGACCATAGCCACTTTTGCACTTGGTGACACACAGACTGTTGAATGTGTTTTCATTAGTACAGTTAATATAACCATGTTCTGTTTGAAGCTTTGTATCATTCCACGGGCATTTGATAACTGTAAAATGAAAAAAGAATACAAAAAATGAAAAAATATACTAAACTTTGATTAGGCAAAAAAAGTAATATAGTTCTTGTGGTTCATTACCTTGACACGTGTTTGGTGTAGAATCTACTTGACCACTTGCAGTACAGCTAATAGTCTGGCTTCCAGAACTTGTCATAGGTACCATTTCATAACCTGTCAAACAGTTTACCTGACAGGTTGATCCGTAAATAAACTCTCCAGCAGAACAATTCACTGCTCCATGTGATGGCCAGGCAATAGGCTGGCACGATATAACTGAAATATAGTTTTTAATTACTATTAAAATGATATATAATCTGTGTTCCGGAACATGATTATGTTGCTTCACACAGGATAAATAATATAATTATGTCTCTCTTAACTTGACTTTATTTTCGGTTGAAGAATTGATTTTGCTCTCGATCAATAGATAAAATACTGGACGTCACAAAACACACAAAGAAAATATGTCAGTGTGACAGGTACAATACTTTTTCAATGTTTCGAGTAACGTTTTGATATTACCTTTTACTTCAAAAGTGAAGGAACAGATAGCTTTCTGGCCTCCATTATCGGTTGCTTCATATGAGATTGAATGAAATCCTCTGTTAAACTCAGCACCAGGTTTTTTGCCGAAAACAAGATGGACACTATATGGTAAGGAAGACAGCGAAAGTTAACATGACACCCTTTAAGTTTACAAGACATACACTGTAAGTTAACAAAGATACACACACTGTAATTGACATGACACACACTAAAAGTTAACAAGACACACACTGTAAGTTAACCAGACACACACTGTAAGTTAACATGACACACAATGTAAGCTAACATGGCAGACAGTGTAAGTTAACTAGACACACACTGTAAGTTAACATAACACACAGTGTAAGTTTACATGACACACAGTGTAAGTTGACAAAGACACACACACTGTCAGTTAACATGATGCACAAAGTAAGCTAACATGACAGACAGTGTAAGTTAACCAGACACACACTGTAAGTTAACATGCCACACACTGTCAGTTAACAAGACATACACTGTAAGTTAACAAGACACACACTGTAAGTTAGCAAGACATATACTCTAAGTTAACAAGACAGACACTCTAAGTTAACAAGACATATACTCTAAGTTAACAAGACAGACACTCTAAGTTAACAAGACAGATACTCGAAATTAACAAGACAGACACTGTAAGTTACAAGTTTATATTCTTTTATATTCTATTATATTATTCAGTTCAAGTGAAAAGATCTCCTACATGATTAATTTTAAAGATTTAAGAGCAATTCTCTGTAACGACTTGAACTTTTATATAGAAGCTGTGGCACGCATAGTCTCAGAATTTCTCCAAACTCTCTATGATAAAAGTCTTTGATACCGTAAACTCAAATCAGGCAGAAATTGGTTGCTATGTGACATAGTTACCATGGCAACATGTCCTAAAGTTTAAAAAAAGTCATTTTTCAACATGTTCAGAGTCCCACAGTTAACGTTTGCAGCAAAGCAAGCAAGTGGTAATGATTGTTTCTGAAAGTTGAAGGCCTGATGTCTTAAATGCATGATAAACATGTTTGGTAAACCAACTATTACATACGTTACTATGGAAACAAAGTATTCAAAAGTAATAATTTTGCTCATTTAATTTTATAACATCATACACTTAAGAATAAAACAAAATATAGGTTGAAATACAAGCAAATAATAGACAAAAGATCCTTGTAACATATACCATGGAAGAAATGTGATATTTCGTATAGGTTGGCAATGGTTGCCATGGTTTTAATACCAAGAAGGGATTTTAAATTTACTCTCTTAGTGGTTAAATCTAATCCTATCTTTTTAAAAAGCATATTTCTATATAACTAATGATCAATTTTTAAAGATGTTCATGTGACCCTAATTCTCACATTTCAAAAAATGCAAATTAAATTCTTTAAATGGAGCGTTGCTATGGAAATAAGCCGAAAAAATATGCATAAAAATCTGAAAAATATTCTGTTTCCTTAGATACGTACCCTTGTATGTAGATTCCCAAAACTTTTATGATTGGTAATTATGAACAACTAACCTGACTTTCAATTTTGACTGCCACCCAATCTCTAACTGGATGCAAAAAGCTGACACATAGGGTTTAATATTGATATAAAATTAACAAAATCGAACATTTTCCCTTCTTGGTTACCATAGCAACAGTGTTGTATTTTTCAACAAACGTTATCAATATATGATATTCAACTTTAGTTTTACCAGATAAGTACTATTCAAGGTGAGTCAAATAATATGTTTCTTGAATAAAAGTAAGTAAATTCCTAAGGCCGCAAACAAATATCACTATAAACAACTGGTACATTGTTTCCATGGTTACACTGCAAAGTAACAATTAATCCCAATTTTTCTTATGTTGTCGGTGTTGCAAGGTCCTAAAGATATATATGTGCCAGTCATGAAATTTAGTGTTTTTCCTGAAGATAGTAGCATTAATCCAGTCTTTGCAACACATTTTGGATGGTAACACTGTGTTACCATGGCAACCATGAAAGTTATTTTTAGAATAATATTGCCAATACCTAATTACTTAAGGTCAAATATTTTTATTGTTTTTTCTTAGGTTGTTGATTGAGTTTGATCATTTAACACCTATCATTAGTGAATATTGAGCGTTTATTCTGCATTTTTCAGCATCTAAAATGTATTCCAACTGTACCCATGGTTACCACTTACTTAGAGATAAATTCTAAATAGTTTCTTTATAGCATAAGTGGGAACAAGGTGTCAGGTTTTGGGGAGAATGGTTTGTTTGTTATTCCTATTCTTTATTAAGGCTTAATAAAGATTCAAAGTAGCTGAAAATCTCAATTTTTTCAACTTTTCTGGCTGTTACCATGGCAACCAAGACACATAGCAACGAAATTTTATTTGATATATGTTTCTGGTGTCAATTTGTAATAATGGGCAAAGTTTCATCAAAATCGGTGACCATGCGTGGCAAAGAAGTTTAAGTGGTTACAGAGAATCGCTATTAAAAGTTCAGATAAATATACGTGTACTTACTCTAGATTCCCCTGTTCCGGATCGAAGGCGGTAGGCTCTGTCCAGTCATGACGCACTGAAGTTTGAAGTTTGTCAGCGAAAACGACCGTTCCACTTGCTGGACAGCCAGACATCGTTGGAGGTTTATTAACTAAATTGCAAAATAAGTAATATCCGAAACAAGGGACAGGGAAACATCATTCTATATAAAATGTTTTTGAGAACTTTCTGGTTTCTGTTTCACGAATTTTCATTGAACATTTCTTAATGTAGAGTCTTCTAACATGATCAAGCTTCTTGTTCAGGGAGAGGGATAAACTGTATTTTATTTACATAAACTTATGATTTACAAAATACCTTAAAATACACATTGCCTTTTATAAAATTGATAATTTGACATGGCTTGACATCTTGTAAAAGACTTATGGTAAGTTACACTATAAGGCAGAAAGCTACTGACATTCCCATACATTTTTTTTCTGACAATTTTAGATAATTACTTTAACTTATTAGTAACAAAAGTTACAAATCGAAAATTAACCCCAACGAAAATTAGTGATTTCGCGGTACTAAAAAAGAACACATTACTTTATATTGCGTTTATTATTTGACATACTAGTAGCTGAACAGCGTGTTTATGTCTTACATGGTATAAGTTATGTATATTAAAGTTAATATTTAATCATGCGTCAATCCTAAATGACACTGTTCGTTAGTTTGTAAGTCTATCACAAATTATGAAAGGGAAAAAGTATTATATTCTCCGCTTGAAAAGCTGGGGTATGAAGTGATTGGGGTATATGTCTCTACGTCCCTTGCGCTTAATTTTGGGGATAGTCATTTCTTATACGCAAGTCCTCCTATACCACTGAATAATATTTATTGAGACTTTTACAGAACCTTTATCAAGAATTGCCATTAAGACCTTCTAATTTGCATTTCGATCAGACACATATTTAGGATTATCATTCTTTCCATAATATTTGGGGGTACCCCCATCTCTTCAGGCCCGTAGCATGGGCTTTGCCAATATACTCATATGGGAGCGAGGATATCATTTTGTGAGCTCAGTGACTAAAGTATCTCTCATTAAAGATTACTAGTATTTCAGAAAGATGAAGATTACGTGATTTGTTGAATCATGCCACAAGCTGAAAGTGCTGTACTAGTATTTATTGCTTGTATTTACATGTAGAATAAATTCAAAATCCAGGTTGTGTTGATGTTGCTAATGATCTTATTTAGTACCATGATCATGTCTCTGCATCACATCTCCATGGTTAAGGCAGATAGAAATGAGATGATGACATCATGTTGTAAATCGTCATTATTTTACCCAAAACGAAAAAAGGACTCGGGAATGGTATTGCTCAAGAATATTAAATGACTTACCTACAACATCAGGGCATGCAGAATTGTCAGAGAAAACATTACACCGGACACCGTCCCACCATGATCTTTTAATCCTGATACGGGGTTTGTTTTTCAATTTCAGTTTGTCCTTGGCTGTGTGTGATAGAAAAGATTTTTTTAAAAATATGCATTTATCTGAATATTTCTTTATTGCAAAAAGATATAAAATTCCTATATTTTTTAAAACACAGCGGAGAAAGAGATTATATTTTACAAGACTTGTATTTCATCAAACGTGTGAACAAAGTAAAAAAAAAAAAGATATATATTATGTTTGTACATTGGAAAGTAAAAGAATATAAGATTGCTGAATGTTTAACAATTAACAAACCATTGATTTTCCAGATGCCTTTATCACAGTAGTATACAATGTCCTCAAATTCATAAGTCTCTTCATCAGAAACAAGTTGATCCACGCCTTTATTCACGTCCAGATCACCAAGACGACAGCCGTCCACTTTAGCCTCCTGGTTTTATCATAAGAAAGTACAGAATGTTTATTATATATTACATCATGTTTACTAAATAAACGAATACCAATTTTTATTTATCCAGATGAAGTCAATATCTTAATTATATTTCATAGTAGTATATTAAGTAATATAATAATACCTTTCCATTCCATGGGTCAAACATTTTACTCTCAGTTTTGCTACACAGTGTTGCAGATGCACAGAAAAAAATAAGAACAATCAGGAGACTTATTTCTCTATTAAAGTACATTCTTAACTTTTTATTACTGTATACTCGTTTTGCTTTTTACAGAATCTCATCTTAGAAAATACCATCCTTATATATGATGATTTAAACTTCCTGTACCCAGCAAACAAAAATTGATTTCAGCAAATCAATGCATACTTTCTTTATTTGCTCGAAAAACATTTAAATTTCCCCGGAAGATATGAGGAGAAACTATTCATGAAAAAAACTATGACCTAGCATAATTTAGCACTTAAGTAGTAAACACTTTTGAGGTCAGGCGACACGTTCCTTAATAATATATAATTTTTCAAAGAATTTATCATTGAAGTTTGGCTACTTAAACAAGTTTCCTCACAAAAAAATGAGGTATCTTACCAGGCATTTGTGCAAGATAACAGAAGATGGTATTTACTATATTATCCAATTGGAAATCTTTTGATTTGCCAATATCACAATTTTTGGTGTCTTTATATCTGCTTGGACATTTTGAAAAGAGTTTAAAATCACAAGATAATGATAATTATGATTAATTTGTTGTATATTACGACGAGATACAAAACAAATATTCGAGCAACTTGTTGTCAGACCTTAAGTTTTTCTTATTCGGTTACCCTTCGGTTCAGCATTATCCTACAGACAAGGGAGAAAAGTATCGTAATTTTTTCATATATTACTCTGAAGTTATTCATTACGTATCTTAGCTCTGAAAAATGAAGAAATGTGGAATTTCGACAAAATTTTGCATATTCTAAAAGACCCTGCGCTGGGGGGGGGGGGGGTGTTCCCCGAACGGCTACTCGCCAAAAACAACAAGTAATTATCACACTCAATTAAGGGGCCCTCTAAGGGGTACAGGTAGATTTACCTGTGTTTACCTGGATAAACAATATTTGATAAATCAGATATATATGAAAAATGTTAATTTATAGTTTTTGTTAAAATTAAAAGAAAAAATAGTAACAAAAAATTAATAAATAATTAAAATCAATAATTAATTAAAACTTAATTAAATTAAAAGAAAAAAAATTAAAATAATAAATAATAAAACATTTGTATACATTGCTTTGTGTTATTGTACTTTTATTTTTTTCAAGCTGTTAAATGGTACTGATGGGGAATTTATAACTTATGACCTGTACCCCTTAAATAGAAATAAAAATTATTTAAGGTAGTCCGATCCTCAGGTTTTAAAAATCAGGCGATGAAAAATAAAAAAATGTTTGCAAAAATATCTCTGAATTCTCAAAGTAATGTTAACGAAATAGCTAAATTTTATAATTTAAACTTTATTTTATTTAAATAAATCACCATATGTACACAATAAATAATACATACAGGTCTCGGAAACAAGTAGTTACAACTTATTTCAATCCGTTTCAACTATGAATATAATACATTGCCCTTCTTGCATGACAAATATAATAGAAACAATAATGAAAAATAAAGAATAAATGAATGAAAAAAAAAAAAAACGAGCTAAAAATGAACAAATATTTGGATAGATATCATAACCTGAGTTTATTTACATTTAAATATAACGGTTAGAAAGTGAGGAATAAACAGTCATACAATCCAAAATTAACAATTCAACAATACGGCCACAACTAAGATTCAAATTAAAATCGTTTAGAAGCAGAAATAAAGTGATGTACTTGTTTAAAAAAGTTCCCATTAAAAGAATGATTTATAGTTGGATCTCCAATTTGAAAGTTGTCGCACCGTTATAAATAGGCAATGCAAAATTAAAGTTAAATTGGATATACTTTACAGTTAGAGTTACAGTAAAAGTTTAGAAATAACATTTAATGTGTCGATATGGGATATTCGGTATTATACCAAATCAGTCGACCATCTTTGGATTCTCGCCAACTTCCTGGATGGTTTTAAATTTCCAAAGTCATCAATAAATGGCTTTGCTCGTTTTCTAAAGGCAAAATATTAAATACCCATTTCTCTGAATCAAGGGTCGGCAGAATCTTCCTTAAACAGAATTCTGACTTACAAAAGTGCAACATTTAAATTTGGAAGAAAAAAAAGGTTATGAAATGATTATTTCAAGGATACATGTATCTTTCATCTCAACCAATTATACCTCTGTAATGAAACGACTTTCTTAATTATCATAATCGTCTTAACAATATTTGATTGGGTTAGTGAAAAAGAAAAATAAAAAAAAATAAACTATAACTACGTACTATATGTCAAAGTTTTTGTGTTTTTTTTCCCGAATATAACAATGAATTTAATTGTTCAATTTATCCGCAAAAGTTACCTTTTTTACGTCATTTTGTAAATTTTACATAAGCCGTACAAGGGAATCATTTTTATCATTAAAAGTACGAGAAAAGTTAGGGTGAATATCAAAGAGAAAGAAAATAAACCAGGTAGGTCAGAGGATTTAAATTCATAGCTATCGAATTTACGTGTAGTTTTTAAATAGCCGATTTCTTTGTCAAACTCGCCAAGACTGTCAAGACTGGCTGGCTGAAGGTTTGTACACTATTTTTTTTATTGTTAAAAATATGTTTTCAAACTACAGTATATTTTCAAGATAAGCAAGTTAAAGTATAAAGGCTGTTTATTGCCGAAAAGACATTCTTACAAAATGAAACGATACATTAAAAGTAAATATTTATTACTGTTTTAATTAAATGAAAAAAAAAAAAACGGAAGAATTAAAAAGAAATTATACCCTTTATGTGTGGCTATAAATTTTTTTTTACGGTGAATAGGTTTGAATACCCATGGCATACAGAGACATTTTACTTCTACTAACAGTCACAATTTCGACAGACGTTTTCTGTGGATATGCGCCGACATGGGACGCCTGTGGGTGCAGATGGGCTGACTGGATGGCCTGGTCCGATTGTTCGAGGACCTGTGGCGGTGGCAGACGGTACCGGACCAGAGAGGTCTGGATACGGACAGACAAATGCTCTCTTGACTTTAACAACTGTGCCACTGATGATATGGGCTCTGATTACGGAGACTGTAACAATATATGTTATAATGGAGGGACATTTACAACTTCCGGATACTGCTCTTGTGTGACAGGATGGTACGGAAGCTGCTGTTCGAATGGTATTTCTTTTTATGTTTGTCTTAAAGTACTTACTTCTGTATGTGGAATTTATTTCAATAATGATTAATAAATTTCATCGTCTACTTTATTTATGTGTAACGGGGACTGGGTACGTCGGCCCGGTAGCTCAGTGGTTAGAGCACCCGCACGGTTAGCGGGAGGTCCCGGGTTCGAGTCCCAGTTTGGCCGACATTTTTCCTGCCCGTTACATTTGGCGCCCAACAATAAAACCCACGGGTGGTTTAAAAGAGTCTCGGTGAGGTTTTCAGGATGGAAAACCTCAAGAAAAAGGGGGGAAGAGTGTAACGGGGACTGGGTACGTCGGCCCGGTAGCTCAGTGGTTAGAGCACCCGCACGGTTAGCGGGAGTTCACGGGTTCGAGTCCCAGTCTGGCCGACATTTTTCCCGCCTGTTACATATGTAACAATATACCATTATCAGCTGCATATTGAGTTTATGTCTCCCAGCTGATTCGATACCCAAGAGAATGTTCTATGTACGGATGATTTCTAAAATTAGGTCCATTATTGACAAATAAGTTGATGATACAAGGATATTAACAGTCACATTAAAGTCAACATTTAGCGATTTCCTGGTTGATACAATTACCCTGTTAGCAATACAATCTATGAATACCTAAGTCGACTGTTGACTGATGTTTTTCATACAAATTCTTAGTCCATTATTTTCAAATTGAATTGTCTACGATTTTTTTCCATTTGCCCGATCATGACAAGGAGCACACGGCGGATGTAACCGTACGACTGGGAAACATACTTCTCCATGGCACCAGTGGATGCTTACTCCTCCATGGCACCTGATCCCGCCTCTGATGATTTTAGAGGGCAGGCCCATGTTTGCTCTGCTCCCTGTATTGTTCCAATGAACTTTTGAGTTTGATGAATCTTCGTTATCTTCATATACGACATATATCTTCACTTTTTATGAATGCCAATCGGACTGATAAGAAAATATAAATAATTCATAAATGAGGAAATAGCTGCCGGGTGGCGCAGTGGTTAGAGTGTATGCTCTAGAGTCGCTGTGTAAGGAGTTGATCCTTACATTGCGGGTTCGAATTCCACTGCGGGACGTGGAGGCCGGTCCTTCGGATGAGACCATTTAAACCGAGGTCCCGTGTCGCAGTAGGCGCTAGCACGAAAAAGATCTCGCACTGCTGAATGACCCAGCGTGCCGAGTATAGGTCAAAATTTGCAGCCCTCTACCGGCAAAAGGTGGCGTCTCCATATGAGTGAAAAATTCTCGAGAGGGACGTTAAACAACAAACAAATAATAAACGGGGAAATAAACATAAAACATTTAAATATCCATCAATCAAGAAGTGACTTTTTATCACCTCACCCTACCCCTCCCAAAAGATTTTATCCTTTATAAACAAACATGCTAAAATATAATCTTGAATATTACAGAAATAATCTGTGGAAACCCAGGAACACTATCTAATGGTGTCGTATCGGGATCGGCGTACACTTATGGTAAAATTGTGACGTACTCTTGTAATGCCCACTTCAACCTCACCGGTGGATCAGTTTCAAGAACCTGCCAATCAAATTTCCTGTGGAGTGGAACGCAGCCGAGATGTGCATGTAAGATTTGACACATCATTACAGTAATACATTTTTCAACTTTCAGAAGATACAGCTGTAATTTTATTTTTATTTGACTTTTTTTAATTTTTTTTTTTATTGGCTCTTTTTTTCATATACAATGTAATAAAATAATAAACATGCAACAAATTTAACTATATACAGTAGCGTCAGTCTGCATCCTGCAAGACAATGTTTTGCAAATCATGAAAGATCACAGTGCATACTCTCTACAGATACAAAACATATTTTCACTACTATTACAAAGAAATATGTTACAGGGGATATTACTTTTTGATTATGACATTTGATTTAAATACATAGTGAGATAATACCATTAGTTCTGATGTAATAACTATAATGCATCTAATATTGGTTGCCAAGTTTCATTAAAAATATCTAAATTACTATTTGAGCAATATGCTGCCTTTTTAAGTAGTAATTTCTTTTTCAGGGGTATAAAACGGCATGAAAACTTGGTTCTTTTTTAAGGACATTCAAATTAGCTATAGACACTGAATGTATATAAAACTTAGAAAGCAAAATACAGTAATTCAAACTATCACATTTTCTCTCATACAGACCTAATATAACATTTTGACAAGATAGCTTGTCTATGTGGAAAATATGTAAATCATTCCACCAAGTTAGAAAGTGGTTCCAAAATGTAGCAACATAAGTACAGTAATAAAACTTGTGTTCTATAGTATCTTCCATTTTACATAAAAAACATTGGGGGAAGTTTTAATTTTCATTTGAAACAGTAGTTTATTATGAGATAAAAATCTATGAGTTTGCTTATACTGAAAAGACTGTAGTGATGTTTCATTAGAACATACAAAAGGTAGCATGAAAATTTTTTTCCAAGTCTGTTTGCGAAAAATTTGCTTTAAATATTTCCTCCCATTTTTGTACACATGTTGGTACTTCATTTAAACTTTCCACTGTAATCCAGTAAAAGTCTTTACAAGATATTTTTGACAAAGGACTTCTTTTATTATTAAAACATAAGGTCAAAGAATCTCTATTAAAAGAACCTTTTTTGTTTTGTCTTATATATTTTCGCCAATGATATGGAATTGCATTTCTTAAACAAAAGTAATCAAAAAAAGGTATGTTCAAGTCATACAAATTACTTAATTCTTCATGGCTTAAAAAATCATAATTATCACCTAAAATGTCTCCAATAAATAAGATACCATTTTTATACCATTTTTTCCAAAACACAGTCTCATTATTTATTTTAATGTTATCATTGAACCAAAGAGCTTCTTTAAATATAATTGGTTCAATATTAATAACATTGCATCTAAGTTGTGTCCATGTTTCAAAAATGTCTCTGTAAAATTGTGGTAATGATGAACATGCATGTAGCCTATTTAGACAACCTCTGGTAATTATAAAATCATTCAATTCTATATCATTCAGGTAAGATTGAATTATACTTCTCCATCTTGCTCTTGTATTAATAAATATCCTTCTAATCCAACCAAGTTTTAATGATTTCATTTGTGCTTCAAGATTAGGAACTTTCAATCCACCCTTATTGATTTTTTGACAGGATACTGAACTTTTAACTTTTGGCTTTTCATTATTCCATATAAACTTGTTCAGTTCTTTAGACACCTCCTTTATCATTTGTAGGGGAATTGGAAGTACTTGTGCTTGGTATACTATTTTTGATATTACTAAAGTTTTTACAATTAGAATTTTGCCAATAAGTGTTAAATTCTTCATTTTCCATAAATTCAAAGTTGCTTTTAGTTCATCTAGTTTTGTATTTAAGTTTTTAGCAAGGGTCTTTTGTTCACCGCTTGAACTAAACCAAATACCAAGAGTAAAAAATTGACCTTCAGACCATTTCACTGGCAAGATTCCTGGTTTGAAGTTTTTGTTCTTTCCTATCCAAATTGCTTCAGTTTTATTCAAAATAATTTTCAGACCAGAACAGTACTTAAATTTTTGAATAACATTTAATATTTCAATTCCTGATTTTTCATCACTTAGAAAACATGTAGTGTCATCTGCTAACTGGCTAATCTTAAATTCTGTCTCTCCTATTTTTATTCCACGTATATTTCTATTTGCCCTTATGGCTATTGCAAGTAGCTCGACACATAAAATGAACAGGTAGGGTGATAAAGGGCATCCTTGTCTCACTCCTCTAGTTAATTTGAAGAAAGAGGTTGTATACCCATTGTTTATGACACTACTAGAGATATCTGTATACAGGATTTGAACCCAATGTCTGAAACTTTCACCAAATCCAAATATTTCTAAAGCTTTATCGATGAAAGGCCATTCTATTGTATCAAATGCCTTTTCAAAATCAACTAAGAGAATTAGTCCAGGAATATTCTTAATACTAGTATAGTTTATAAGATCAGATATGGTTCTAATATTTTCTCCTATAAATCTATTCTCTAAGTATCCAGTTTGGTCAGAATCTACACTTACATGTATTAACCTTTTTTATTATAAGAGTATTAAGAAAAAATACTCATGTATATATTTTCCATAGGGTGTTCATATTTGACTTGTATTTGACTTGTATCATCTCTTATAGTCATAAATTCGTGCGCAAGTAATCCCTGTCTGAATGGGGGCACGTGTGTAAATGGATTAGACAGATATGACTGTCTCTGTACATCAAGTTACAATGGTGTCAACTGTGAAAACGGTAAGGATATACAGCGGTCCTTTCTTATGTTTCAACTTAAATTTATACCAAGTAAAAGAAAAGGAAAGACATTCTTATTGTTTATTGTAACTTTATTCACAGATATTCAGCCTCCTGTAACAATTGATTGCCCGAGTGACATGTTCATATTCTCCCATAAACCAACAATTTTTGTAAATTGGACGGCACCATCTTTTCATGACCCCGTTGGGACAAGTATTGATATTACAACAAACTATCCAGATGATAGTTGGACGTTTCCATGGGGAGATTTCGTCGCACAGTACGTGGCACTGAAGCCCTCCAATGGTCTTCGAACAACATGTGAATTCAATATTACCATTCGACGTAAGTATATTGGATTTTCTCTGCTTCATAAATAAAGTTATTATTATGGTCCATGTTACTTACTTATTATTAAAAATGAAAATTTGTACAGCACATCCATGCCCAGAACTAAACGTACCTGTGAATGGTGCTCGGGTTTGTAATGGTTGGAAGACCGACTTTGGTCAGTTCTGTCTAGTGTATTGTGGAGGGAACTACAGCCTCAGTTTACAGTTCGATCACAATCAGTGGTATGTTTGTGGATCTAGTGGGAACTGGATTGCTAATGGACCCCTGCCTAACTGTACAGGTAAATGCATTTCAGTCTCTCTTTTTATCAAAACAATGATTGTTTAACCTTAATTGTAGTTTATGACCATTTGTAAAGTATTTTATGTACCATTCCATCAGTGTGAGAATTATATTGTTGTGGACCGTATTTATATTTTTCAGATTTTATTTTGACGCCCGAGGTTCTTACCTTTTCCAGTTCATACAGATTTAACGATTGCTCAGTGTCCGGGGATATTGACAAAATTCAGAAGTCTTACATAGAGAAACTGAAGATTTCTAACTACAATGATTTCTGTGATAAGTATAAAAATCTATGTTCCGAAGAAAATGTACAGGTGGCTTGTTAAATATGTAATTTTATCACCCAATGAATTGGATAAATTAGCTGTGCTTCAAGAAATATGGAGAGGTAACTTGCAATTGTACAATGTCAGAAAAATTACTGGAAAAAATTAATTATTTAGTTGATTTTACTTACAAATGTATATCTCAGAACCTGTGGAAATTTTGCTTTTAACTACATGAATGTAATTTTAAAGGATACAAAATCTTGTCATAAATATTCTGCAACAATTAAAATCATTATTTTTTCAGTAGTGTTGAACAGATAAATTTTTTGATTCACAGAGTTCAGTTTGCAGTTTTGCATTTAAAAATGTTACTTTTATATTGATTTACTGTACATCAATAAAGTATACCAGAAAAAAAACAAGCAGAAAGTTATTCTCTTTTAGGCTTCGATTTTTTTTAAAAATGAGTTTTATTTATCTCTTGGCGCAATAATCTTGATAAAGAAGCATGTATTTTTATGATGTTTACATATCAATTTCTCGCAGATATGGTTGAAAAGGTGTGATCCATGGTGAAAATGACCTTTCTTTTTCGTAGACAATAAAACTTACACGCTACTTAATTCAGCATATTAAAGCAAGAAGAAATTCTAGCAATACACTTGCCTCTTTGTCTTATTATTTCAAAATCTACAATGTAAAATGGTCAGTTTCTTAAGAGGAAGGTCTTTTGAAACGGAAGGTTCCCACAAATCAATTAAAGCAGATATAATGAAACTTGCGTAGCTTCACCTGAAAAACAATAGAATCAACCGTTTATCATGAAAAACGTTTGTAAATAGGTTCTAAATATATTGTCCGGAAACCGTAATCTTCCTGCCTTTGATAAAAATCTCGAGATTCCATTTGTAGAGAGAAATTCTGTACAAAACCATACCACATGATGTTGCCTACTGACATGGCATACATGTAGGTCATACTTCCTCTATCTCAACATGACACCCTAGCTCACCAGATATAAAATTCATATCCCCCCTCCATTTGACCTCCTATTCCATATACCGTTTTCATGATTCCTAAAGAATCGTTATAATTGACGTCACAAAAGTGACAGACAACAATGTACATGTATACAGTGCATACCTAACAGTTTTAGCAAGCTTCGCTCATTTAAAATAAAATTCATTGTAAAATCATCCGAAAGTTATGCATGTTTGAGAGAAAAATATTTTAACTTTTTACCACAATATATCTCGTACGGGGCCATAAAATTTAGACGAGCTCACTTTTGATTTCAGTCTCACTTTTACAAAGGGATTAATAGTGGGAAAGTGAGACCTAGATAAATCAAAGTACTGAAAGTATTGGGAAGCGCTAAGCAATGTTTGCAATTTGAAACTCATCAGATTTATTTTGCATTTAAATTGTCTGTTGTATTGGAATAATCAATATGTTGACAGTGCAACTGCTGTTTATACATATTCACTTTAAAATAAAACTTGTATCAGCCTCTTTAAACCGCACAAGGATAGATTTGAAGGTTCGAGACTGTGTCATCACATGGCGTCGTTATTTAAAAAAGAGAGTGAAATTTATTATACATTTTCATCAAAGCAAGTCTGTTACTTTTTTTTCATTTTCATAAGTTTACTTTGTTTATCGCATGAAAGAGCAATACTGCAGTTATGGGAAAAAGTCTTTTTGTGTTAAATGGCATTTCCAGAAGTTATTATGGAAAAACGTTCATTTGGAGCAATTTGCACAATCCAAATTTACTCTTCGCCCCGACGTTCCTTTAAGAGCTAGTTTGCAGTTATGAGCAGCACTCGCTTCTAGATTTTTTTAACATCATTGCGAATTTATCCATACGACGCAAGTTCGAATCCCACAAAGGGAAGTAAAGACCGGTCCTTTGGACGAGACTGTATAAACCGAGGTTCCGTGTCACAGTAGGTGTTAGTACAAAAAAGATCCTCACTGCTCAAAGGCCATAAGTGCCGACCATAGGTCTAAGTTCAGTCAAGTGGTGTATTTTCAATATGAGTGAAAAATTCTCGAAAAGTCATTACACAAGAAAAAGAGAAAATAAAATTATAGAAAATTCGAGCCAATGTAATTTGCTAAACTTCAAATTAAAATGGCTTATTCACAATGCTTCGTATCAGTAAAGTATCATAAAAATATAATAAGACAATCACATATAGTTTCTCTTAAATTTTGTTAACATGGTCAATGTTAGGCAAAATATTTCAAGAGCACTTCTTTCTCCTGTGCCTTAAAGAGTCTTTGATAAGCTTTTATAAATCCCACAGTGATGGATATTGCGGTGTATTCAACCATAGGCGCTTGGTTTCCGGATTGTTTATTTTGTGTATTATGTGTTTTCCTAGGTGGGTCTGAATACATTTTTTAAAACAAAAAAGTCGTTGTAATTAGGACTTTTAAAATTATATATAATATTTCTGTATATAAAAAGTTGAAAGGTTCGACGCTCGTCTTCTTGGATTCCTGGGGTGCCTCGGTTTACACTTAGTTATATTCAACATCTACCATTCTCCATCACCCTAAGAGTCTATAAAATTTAGCTTTACGTATAAACTGCAAGCAATGGGGGGGGGGGGGGGGGGGTCGACGAGTTTTCCAACAAAATTCAGACTATACACATAGCTATACATTATATATTCGCTGGAAAATGTATATTTTGATCAATTTTGAACACATGAAAATGTCGCTGATTTATTCCTCTCATTTATGTGCAACAATGACAGCTAAAAATTGTTAATAATTAATTCATTCCGTGTTCATGAGTGTTTCAGATTGAAGGTTGACTGTGATCATTTTATTTGTAAGAAGTGCACTTAAAAATAGACGTTATTTTTTACTGCTTCGATAAAATAATTCCTAATTGATAACATATTTATTAAAGTTAAGAATAAAAAATCTTCAAACAACTAAATATTTTGTCTGAATTGTTTTTTAGTATATTTCATTTTTTTTTTGTGCATATTCATAAGCGAGTTATAAATTTACGATTCTATAGAAAGGATTTTATAAGAAGTACATTCAATGGCGTCCTGATAGGAATAAAATATCCACTGCACTGGTGTGTTCGGTGAAACGGAATACTGAAAATCATTAAGGTTTTGCATTTTTCGCCATATCTTGCGCACTGCACACTTTTGTCATAAATAATTCCGAGAAATTAGTTTTCATTTATAAGTCTTTGCGCCCTACATGTACGTACAGCCGCAAACTGCCTTTCCTTGCAAATTATTTACATAATTTTAGAGGTCCGTGTTTGCTATGCTCCTATTTTGTGAGGTTTAATGGACGTTTGAGCTCGAATACGGCTCGTTATCTCCCCATATTTCATAAAAAAAAATTATCTGTGTTAAACGTATAGATTACAACACGAGTATAGACAGTCCATGACTGCATTCCAGTCTGTTATTAATTGGTACTGAGATGCGAAATTCGACATCATTGATAGCGCTGTACATTGAGCAAGGATGATAATAAAAAGATCGATCATGTTTTTAGTTACATTGTCTGAAATAAGGGTCTAGAAGAAGAAATATTAGTTAATATCGATATAAATTATATAGAACGTAAGTACACTGTAAATCAATTTTCTGAGTTTTAAAAATATGTACGTATTCAAATATTAAAAATATGTACGTATTCAATCACTGCATTACATGACCTATTATGAGCCTTTTTCAAGATATTTGCACCAAAGATGTTTTTTTTCATAACTTTTTCGAATTAACACTATAGTAACTGTTAGCTATATGTTGCACAAGTGGTGTGTGCCTACATAATTTTTAAATGAACTACAATGTAAAGAGATAAGAACCGCCCACATCCACTAGGAGCGGATTTCGTACTCTCTATCTCTCTTATTGACATCTATAATTAGAACTGCGCGTAACGCAGTACTTGACCAAAATAGCCCAAAGGGAGTCGGGGATTTCCAGTTGCATACTTTTAGAAGAGTCAGTGGAGTTATCTTACTTGCTTATTGGCGCTGGATCGCGAACGGAAGTAGTATTAAGATGCCAGTAAGCGCTTTGCGCTGCGCTTAACGCTTAAAAATGAGCTCGTCTGAGTTTTATGACCCCGAAGCCTAACCTAGCCAATTTGAAAAGCGGCTCCAGGTTTTGATTTCATCAACTTCCTGAATATTGAGGCATTTTTACAGTGATTAGAAATAATGCATGGAAACATTTTTTCATTTCAATTAGTTAGACTGCTTTTGAACTTGTGATATGACCTTGATTTTTGCTTGAATACTTGCAAACATTCTGGTTGGACTAAACCACATATTTCCATTTGTGCCCAATCCAAGTGATCGACAATATAAAATGTACATCATATACCAACTCTTTCATATACAACTTAGAGTTATTAATAATTATTTCTTCAACAAAGACAATTTATTAAAATAGCAAAAATATCATATCTGCTTGAACTTTCAGTAAGGCGTGACAATCTCGGCGATACATAATTAGCGTCTTTCAAATGGTGACCTAGATTCTCATTGGTTAAGAAATTCATAACATTAGCAACTTCAGATTGTTGTTAACAAACAATGAGATGACATAAGCCACACCTCTTTACTGAAGAAACGATGTAATTGGTTCCTTGCGTCACTCGTTGACGTCTGAAACATTTTTATTCCATGTGTATTTCACCCGTGAATGAAAAGCTGTGTAAATCTCAGTATTGATGAGCTAATCTGGCAACCAATGAGAATCTAGGTCACTAATTGAGAGACGCTAATTATGTAAGAATGTTTATCATGTTTTATTTGAACCAGAGACATAAATATTTATACATAAGCTTTGCACAGGATAAGTGTAGTATATCCTTTACAATATAAATTACATGTGGCAATTACATAAACAATAACATTTAATGTATTATCATTTCTTATTGTACACTATTTAATACATCATTTCTTAATTGATAAGAAAAATACAGAAATTTACCTAGGTTACATAGTTCTTTAGTATTTGTGGAACTCAGTAACTGTACTAATTTAAATACTGATGGTTTTTTTTTAAATAATAACTCTTGATATATTTAATTCTTAGTTCTTCATATCGAAGACATTTTAATACAAAGTGAAATTCATCCTCTATCTCATCTGATATACATATTTCACATTTTCTATCTTTTCTTTCTATGTTACAATACCTTCCCCTCTCTATCTTTAAATCATGCGCTGATAGTCTTAAACGACTAATAGGTATTCTATACTTTGAATGTAATGGTTTTCTTAAATACCTCTGTAGTACAACATTATCCACTAAATGTTGATATAAAAAATATTTAGGAGAATTACAAATTCTTGCCATAATATCTTGTTTATAACCGTCATACATTCTTTGAAATACGATGTTCAAAGAATTATTATCAATACAATTGCTATTATACATGTCAGTTAAACCAAGCCTTTGAATATTACGCCTTACTAAAGTTCAAGCAGAAACGATATTTGTACTAAGATCATGCAAATTAAGCAGATGAAATAACTAACGGATATACAAACAAAAACGATCATTTGAAACCCCTGTCTATGAATGTAGGAATATCTACTAGTAATTGAGAAAAATAAAGTTTATATCTTGTTCCAATAAATGTCCTAAACAAAGTGTAAAATGCACTTGCTTTATAGAAAAATGTCGCAAAAAAGATGAAAATTTATAACTAAATACTTGCAGAATAGTCAGTAACATGAGACAATCATGTGAAAATAGACATAAGTATACATAATTTATTCATCCCATGTCTATCCCATGGATAACAAATATCTCATTGGATATTTTTTTTTTCATAACCCACTGCTTTGACGTCACAATTGGTCTTGCGTGAGTGATGACGTAAAATGAAGTGAATTCCTATATAGAAACAGTGTAAAAATATTGATAGTAATGTATAAAACGTGGGATAAAAAGAATCTCCCATGTCAAGGGTCGCCAAGGCTCGGGGATTAAAAAAAACCCACATAACTCGTTGGATGAAAATCATACCTAACTACAAAACATGGGAGATCCTATATTTATGCAATAAAATTATTCGTGTCAATTTTTTTTTAATGCACTCACTTTTACAATCAATAAAACAATAAAATATTTTCCTCGTTTCTCATCTACTAGTAACAACGGTAACAACATTGCAGAAAAAGCACATAACCCATAAACGTCACATTGAAAACTGAAAGCGATTAGAAACATCGAATAGGAGCATGTGCCACTGGTAAAATTATGTTGTTCTTTTTTTCGGTTTTCCAGATTCAGTCAAAGTCCTCTGTTTCCCTCTTCTTTGGACTGAGACCATGATGATTGTTCATGTTTTCTGCGCATGCTTACATGCATTGAAGGTGAAGCAAAAAATAAATTTGTGCTGAGCCAATGACTCTTTTATCGCCGTTAATGTGCAATTTTATGAATCCAAATACTAAGAATTGAACAAAATTTAGATTGAGCCAAGCAATTTTGTTTCATTTCCTCGTTTTTTGCATCACTATGTCACTTCATGTGATTCACTATTTTCTCTTAAATTACTGTTACATAACGATTGAAAGAGGCATAAGGAGATGAATAAAAAAAGTTATTAAACTTAAATTTTACAAAACTGTATCATTTTATTCATTAAATGAACATATTTAAACAGACATTTAAAATGAGATATTTTCTATTCTGACTATTTAGGTCACCGCTTCTTAAGTTTTTTCCTTACTTAAAACAACTAATAAAATATAAATATATATTTTTTGCAGTTGACAATAGGTGCAAGTATTGCTCAGCATTTTTTTTAATAATTCGTAGAATAAGAAAATATTTTGAAATCAAGGAGATTTTATTTTCATTAACCCTTAATCAATGTTACATGTTTTTTTTTTTTGTTTTTTTTTTTTTGTTTTTTTTTTACCTCGGATTTAGTAATATCAAATTAAATTATTATTTGCATGAATCACAATGATAGTAGGCAGTAGATAGTTGACTTATGGGCATTCTCTTCAGTTAAGTGTAAGATTTTGAGAATCCATGCTCTTTGCCACTCAGTGTAAAGTTGGAGCTAAAGTTTGTCTTTGCTGACATGTCTGAATATTGTGGTTTGACCATATTTAAGCTCACCCAACTTCCTACTAAGGACAGATCTCTTCGATGTCGTGCTCTACAATGTAATCGAAGATTTTTAAAACATTTAAATAAATATTTCTCAATCTTTGATGGTGCTGGCATTCACTAGGAGTTCCTTAAATATCAAGTTCCATAAGAAAGCAATTTTATCTTATTCATTTTTTTTTTTACAGAATTAAGCGAATATTTGACCTACCTTTGACATTTTTTATGGAACAGCATACTCAGAACAATGCTTGATAGCAGGACAAAGATTGTCCCTATAATACCAACTGCAATGACAACTGCTTTTGATCCATCTAAATTTCAAGTAAAATGGTTTATTTTACTATGATATCAAAATTGTATTTTAACTTGTATAAATATTTTGTTTTGCATTACTCTAATTGTTGCATTAAAATTATGGGTCTATGATATGAAGAATAATTACGATTTGTATAATACCTTCATTATTTCTTTCCTTTGAACGTTTTGTTGCTTGATTATTTGACGATAATGTTATCAATGGATCAGGGGTAGTTGTAAAATGATGAGCTTTTGAAGTCATTGCCTCTTGTGTTGGTTGTGATTCGGAGGTACTCCTTATGAAGGTGGTTGGTGGGATTGTCGTGCTTTGACCTGTGAAAGTTGTAGCAGAAGAAGATCTAGACTCCATTGTTGGTTGTGAAGAAAAGGTAGTGTTTATTAGCACTGGTGTGTCTAAAGTGGTGGATATGTCAGAAGTGTTTTGGGAAGATTCTGACGAAATTAAAGTTGAGATGGTCGATGATATATAAGCAGACCCGGGGGATGTCATATTCGTCACAGTACTTGATGGTACAAATGTTGTTGACTCAATGGTCACTGCAAAATTTAAATTACAACTCTTATATACATGTATCGTCAAAAGAACACACATGACATACATGTATGTACTATAATACAACATTACATTATCTTTTTTTCGAAAACTTTTCACCTGAACATTCCGAGATATTTTGACTTCCTTCTGCGGTTGTTTTCATTCCCAAAGGACATGGTTTACAGTATATCTGTGCTTCCTCATCTTGATATGAACCCAAAGGACACAGAGGGCAATTATTTGAGAAGGAGTAAGTACCAAATGGACAGTCAACTGAAATACAACGCTGAAATTAGCCAACAGAAATAGCATGGAGAAAATGTCTCAGCGAATCAGAACACATCATGGTTAAAAATATTCAAAACATACTACAAAAAGCTTCTTGCCGGCCTTGTCCAGGAGAGCATTCTACGACGGAGTCTGTCGATACTGCCTCAGATGTATATTGCACACCATTTAATTCAAACGACAATATGCTATGTGAGCTGTTTATTTGACTTGCAGATGCTTCTAGTTCACTCAAAGCAAATAGTAATTCTTGAAGGTTCCGGCTTGCTAAATTCGTAATGTGATAAGTGAAAATTATTGTATATTTAAAACAACACTAATGTACATGTATTTCAGTTTCTTCTGCTCACCATTATTTGATTCGTAAAATAGCTGCAAGTCTAAATTATCCCCAGCAGTAAGATTGTACGACAATGTGATGGTCTGAGTATCGGATGCTGTCGAACGTCGTCGACGGACACCTACTGCCGGGCAACCTGGTAAGATAATTCATCTTGCAAATGTGATATATATATCTTTGCAATTTTCAGATTCCAATATATATATATATATATATATATATATATATATATATATATATATATATATATATATATATATATATATATATATATATATTGTATTCTAGAAAAATGCAATCTTATAAAATACTAATTCAAGAAAGTTCATATTATTAAAAAGTTATATAATTTTTCTTGCACTGCAGTTTATTGTTCATATTTTATCGAATACATAAACATGATGGAGCGTAAATTCTTTGAATATATCTCTAAGGTTCTGAATTCAACAGTTAAGTAACTAAAAATGTTTAAAGTTCATTATCAGTTCATTATGCATTTTTAGTTAAAAAATTGTTAAACAAATATATTTCAAAATAAAATAAGTATCCAGAAATTATGACGTTGTTGATAGTTATGTTATAATTCAGTTTTGTTAACTACATTTTCAATAGAATAGACTAAATATCATATGTGATATCGTTGCAAGACATCCCAATATACTTCAATTTTAATTTTATGGTAATAAATATTGATGTACAAGGCTAACTCTGTAAAAATGGAACGCGTAAATATACTTTCCTTGTCATTGGTCATTTGCAAAAGTATTTTCTTTAAAAAAAAATTTTGATTGTACACACAAGTACTCTGAAGATGATATTAAAAAGATGCTTGAGTATCTGATTGTCAATATCTATGTGGTTTTTATGGAGACCAGGTCTTCCAACAATCTGTTGGAATTTACATGCGTACCAATTGCGCCCCGTTATTAGCAGACATATTTTCTGTATTCATGTGAAGAGAATTTATTCAAAATCTTATACATGAGAAGAAAACACTTGTTGTGGCCTTCAATTCGACATTCAGATAAATCGACGGCGTATTATCAATTAACACTATTTATTCATTTGTCGACATGATATATCCCACTAAGCTTTATGTTAAAAGTGATGACTTTAACTTTTCAATCGTCAACGTCCCTTACTTATGCAGCAAAATACTATTATTACTTGCATAAAGGGTTTATATCTCTCAGTTGATTCGATACGCAAGAGCATGCTCTACGTATGAAACGAGGTACGTTATTGACAAACAAGAATATCAACAGTTTCGTTTAAAGTCATCAATTCGAAGGTTCTATGGTCGATACAATGACCTTGTCAGCAAATATAATCTATCATTAGATCCAATGCTGACTGGCGTTTTTTCATACTAATTGCTTAATTTCATACTAATTGTTAGGCCATTATTTACACAATGAGTCTACGGATTTTTCCGTTATTTCCCGATCATGACTAGGAGCACACGGCGGGTGTGGCCGGTCGGCGAAGGATACTCGCTCCTCCATGGCGCCTGGTCCCGCCTCTGATGTTTTTTTAGGTCTATGCTTGCTCTGCTCCTGATTTATGTTGGTTAAATGAACTTTTGAGCTTGAATACTGTTTCATATCTCAATATATTTCACTCCAAAACATTTTTATTTGTTGCCCTATTATAGGAAATACATGCGGCTATGTACAATATCATTGATACATGAAAACTGTTGCACAAAAAACTTTAATTTCATTCTCTTTTTTAAATCTTATTCAAATTAATGATACTCTTCGGAGTAATTGTTCTTGACAGAGTGACGCACTTCCTTAAATTCTTACCTGGAACGTCTACATTAATAGAGCAGGATTTATTTACTGAGCATTGTAGGTCAGACTCTAAGCTATTCTTCAGCTTTGCAGCGGCATTTGATGAACTATCACATGGAATAGAAGTGCTGTACTGTACGTTTGAAAGTGTGGAAATCCTTGAGGGACTGGATATTCCTAAAATAAATTATGCTTACAATGTACATTTGAAGTAGAATTTGTATTTAAATAAAAGAGCCAATGATAATTTTTAAAGACTACTTCATTAAAAATTTGGCATGAGCTATGGTTCTATTATTTATTACTTACTACCGCACGATGGAGGTTTTCCGTTCCATATATATGATGTATTTACACCACAGATATACAAAGGAAGAGGTAAATTTCCAAACATAAATGTTAAACCAGGACGACATTGCAATGTACATAATTTATGGCCATCTGCAGTATTAGTACAATTGAGAATATTTCCGAATCCTCTTTGTATGGAGGGACAAGCTGTATTGGTAAAAAAAAAAAATTGGTTAAAACATTACCCCAAAAAATAAATAATATCGTTTTCACTTTCAAGACATTTTCACTCTAGCAGTTAATAATTCGTGAATTCAAACCATTCTGCTGGTAAATCTTACATGGACATATAACAGTATTGCACAATGTAGTTTCAGTAGATTCTGAAGAATTGCACGGGATACCATCCGGATCTGGTGTTGGGCTATTGCAGAGTCGAGTGCGGGATTTCTGTCCTCCACCGCAAGAAACGGAACATTCACTATATGACCCCCAGGTACTCCACCCACCATTTACTGAATCAAAATTTGATTCTTTAAACATCCTCAATGATTTTTTTTATTTTGTTATATCATAACTTTATGGTTGTCAAAAATGAAAATCAAATCAACTTTCGAAATATTTGATGTCAACAAAATAGATTACAGAATACTTGTATAGAACAATGATTATATTAAAACAGTCTATAGATTTGCTCGATAAAAACATCAAATGAACAGACAATTATATATATATATATATATATATATATATATATATATATATATATATATATATATATATATATATATATATATATATATATATATATATATAAGGGGGGGGGGTGGTTGAGGGTGTGTGTGTGTTTGTTTAATAAATTTTATTTTTTACGTTTACCCGTTCTGATTTCACAAATGAATCCTTTATATCCAGTAGGACATGTACATGTGAAGTTGCTTGTTGCAGGGGTACACGTTCCTCCATTTTTACAGGGATGACCTTGACAGTAATCTGGTGGATTTTGACAGTTTTCCCCGTGATATCCATTAGTACAGAGACATTTATAACTATTTACTCTGTCTTGGCATTCGTGGTCATTACAAGGATTTGGAATGCATTGATTCACATCTTCAAATAGAAAAATACCAAATATGATGAATATTTATAACATGCTTATGAAATTTTGGTGTCATCGTTATATATTATAAAGGAGGAAAAAAACACGCACTGTCACATACACTCGGACTATGAATCAAAAGCTTCTGTCCAGTAACATGTGAAAAGTTTTTGAACGTGTCCATTGTTATTTGTGCCTCCGTTCTCTTCATATGACAGGATGTGGCAACAGAGGCAACTTCAGCATCAGACAGTGCTGTAAACTCAACTTGGTATTCTGAGATATAATAGCCTTAAAATGAAAGAAAATTAAAATATCATTTAATGCAACTTTACACTTAACAAAGATAACTATATATGGGCAATTGCAAGTTGTAGTTTTGAACCAAATAAACAACTGTTCACCTGTTCTAGTATCTTCATATAACTCTAGGCTTAACTGGGACGTATCGTCAATTAGTGTACTCCCTGCTGGGACATACGAAGAAATCGGCGTGTGTAATACACTGACACCGTTCAAAAATACCGTCAAAGAAGACGTCACAGAAGTAACTCGCACGAGCAGATGTGACCACAAGGCTATAGGAAACGTTACATTAGCTTGGATACTTTTGCTAAAATACATAAAAGAGACAAAATATTTTCATTAATTTCAATCGATTTTTCCTTCTGATTTCACAAAATATCAAAATGTTATTCAATTAAAAATATCCTTATTACAGCTGTCAAAATTTAATTACCTGTTTATTTCAATAAATAGTTCATTGGTGTAATATACATTCAATGTGAATGCCGTCGACTTCGTCTGAAACAGACTGATATTAGCCCTCGTTTGAGAGGGGTTAATCCATGTCATGAAAGAAAAGGCAACTTGAGCAGTTGATGCAGGAAAAAACAATGTTTCACTGCTGGCGTTGGAGAGAACAAGATCAAAATCTATAAGAGAAATGTTGGGATAGTTCACTTTTCTGTAGTCATGCAACAGAAATTCTAAGTCCATAAAATTATTAGCAAATCATTTGGCTCATTACCAAGCCAGAAGGCCAATGGGCCACAACAAAGAAGTTTTAAGAGATTCTAATTCCTTCCTTTTTCCGTGAAAATTCTGACACCCTGTTGTGGCCCTACGTTTGATGAAAGTAGTCATGAATTAGCCGAACTGAATTTACAACACATGGGGATGTTTCCAAATCTATATGACTAAATTATTCTTGTTCTTTAGATTTTTTCCCCTATATACATGCATTATGTAAAATTTTAACACGGATTTTAGCCCCACTCTTTCTCTAGGATCAAATACTTGAAAAAAAATTCAATCCACACAACTAACAAGTCCTTGCATATTAAAAAAAATAATGTTGTACTGCTATTCTTAAAATAATTTTTTAAATGATTTTCTATACATGTATATTTCTAATTAAGAAAAATTTGAATCCCTAATTTAGCTTATCTCTATAACTCTTACATGTATGTGACGTCATTTTTTTATGATTATATGATCATTAATGATCATTAAATTTTTTTCTGACTCAATGGTTCTTTAGAGTTTTAGACGTCTTCCTACTTTTGCTAATTTTTAATTATCTTCCCTTAGAATAGGAAAGGATTCTATAATTGAAAAATTTCAAATCCCTTTTACCCAAAGATATGTCTTCGCCAATTTGGTTGAAACTGGTCTATTGGTTCAAGAGAGGTCATTAAAAATATGCAACAACTACGGATAACGAACAGAAAGACGGACGCCGGATAAAAGGTGACCATAAAAGTTCACTCAAGTTTAAAGCTCAAAGAGTTTAATACCCAAATCATTAATTCTGATTTGATGTATATTTGTGATAACAAAACTTCTAATCAAGACTAAAGAAGCATGACTCTTGATAGAAAACCACTTGTAACATGGAACATATATGTATTTAACTTACCTGAACAATTACTTATTGATGTGCTTCCAGGATATGATGTTTTACCGGCAGGACAATCCATGCATGATCTGGAACTTTCTGCATTTTGGTATGAGGAACGTGGACAAAAATGACACGGCTCAAGACCCGTTGTGGAATATTCTCCAGGTTGACATTTTTCTAAAAATTATACTTCAACTGTCAATATTCTACATGGCCTTAAGCAGCACAGTGAATCTACATCACGTTTATTTGGGAAAACACTCACATACATGAAGCCGGGAAATTTAAAAAAAAAATGCAGTTGCACAAAACAATAAAGTACTTGGTGTGTACACAATTGAATATCGATATCAATTATTTAGATTAACTTAATATAACATTGTCAATAGAAATGTAAATGGCTTACGAGTCCTTTATAAAATTTTACCATAACCTTTTTTCTACTTACTTAAACAGTCGGTAAAGTTTTGAGTTCCATTGGTCAATGTTGATGTCATTGCTGGACAAGCAGTACATGAAATATCATTATCTTTATAAGTTCCAACTGGGCACTCTACACACGCTGGATTCATTGCATCTGATTTGTCAAGGTATGTTCCGGCAGCACAAGGAACTGCAGCATTTCAAGTATAGAATAGATGTAAGTTTGAATCAATTATTTAACTGCTTTAACAGTATTAAATTAAGCGAAAAATATTAATTAATACATGAATCAATTAGTAATAATATTACCACAAGTCAAAGTTGACCACCGAATGATTGATCCTTCGGGGCAATATGGATCACTCCAACCGAGCACAAAACTGTTTAGGTCAGGACTTAATCCTCTTACAGTTAAATTGCCATTAGATGCGGAGGATTTTATAACATTAAATACTTTTTTCTGTATTTCTTCAAGGAAATAAAATGTTGAACCTCCAGTCGAGTTGAAGTTATACCAAGTAGTTATCATTGTCAATTCGACCCGTATCTCGTGGGTGCTTCTTTCAACCCGGAAGAAATTAGAAATGTCACGTTTCCTCCTTCCGGTCACAGGACCGCATGTAACCACAGTGTTATTGACATTACAGTCAATTTGTGTGGGGCATACACCATTCCACCCTTGGGTCTCAAGAAGCTGCATCTTGTCGATAAAGTTTTCTTTAATATCATCCAATACAGTGAGATCGTTACAATTACCAGTATAGTAAAAGAACTCCCCCAAGACAGTGGTCATTCCTGGTCTTCGAAATTCTAAACAGAAAATATTTCCTTTATACAGTAAAGGTATACAAAACTACTGTAAATAAGTTATCAAAACCTATTTGTATATAGAATATAGTAAAGTGAGAGAATACAAACCCGTACATCCGGGGACATTATTAGATGGTGTATACTCTCCTTTCGATTCTGAACATGTAAAAAGTCCCGTAAATGGAGCCCCATTAGAACCAACAGTGCCATATGGTATGTCATATTTATCAGAACATTGCATTTGGCATTGCATTCCGAATAACCAGGTGTCACAAACCATAGCGCCATTTTCTGGTGGTGGTAGTATATCACATGGATTTTCTGTGAAAAAAGTTTATTTTGCATGTTCAGACAATTATACAATGCATTTGAAATGCAAAAATGCATATTATAAACATTGCCTACTCTGGCAGAATGGTTCAGCATCGCCCATATCCCAGTATCCCAGAGGAGGAGAAAAGCTGTCATTCCTCTCACATGTGATCGTGTCGTTGCCAATTAATGGAAAGCTTCCCATACATCGTAACTGACATGTGGAGCCGTAAGTGTACCCATTAGGACATTGATAAAACAGATACTTGTCAACGATTAAAGGTGGGTCGCAGCGAACCTCTTGAAAAAGAAATTTAAAGGTTACATTTTAAAGGTAATAATTATAAGTTTATATAAAGTCTATATTCAAAAAATGTATAGAATGTTTTCTTTAAAGATGAATAGCAATCATAGAATTATTTTTCCTTTCAGTTGGTAAGATGCAAAACAATAGACAATTATTACAATACCCTCGACATTTACGAAGAAGGAACACTCGGGTGATACGTTCCCTTCGGCATCCTCAGCCCTGTATCTGATCTCAGTAAATCCTATATTAAAAATTGATCCCGGAGCAGGTCCTTTGGTCCTATTCAGGATGGCGGACCCTTGGTTGTCAGTCGCAAGTGGCTCCAACCATGATACTGAAGCTGTGCGACTGTTTCGATCAGTATAAGCAAATATTGTACCAGGGCAGTTACTTATTTCTGGTGATTCGCTATCTGATTGAATAAAAATTACGACATTTTAGTGACAGAGTGATATCAACAATAATTGATACAGAGCGAAAATACAAGTCACATGGAGTACATGTATAAGTACGATATACCTTTACAATCAGGAAGTTCACTTGACCATGTTTTGTCAGCTTTGCAGGAGGAGAACAGTTGCCCTGATGATAAACTGTATCCGTTTTTACACTGAGTTATACAAGCAGTATCATATTTGTAATTGCTGTGAGTACATATTGCTTGCCCATTCTCTGGGATCAGAGCAGGATCATTGGCTGGACAGGTGATAGCTTAAAAATTGACCAGAGTACTAGTAAGACGATACAAGAATATTACAGAAAACAAGAGGCCCAGGGGCCACATTTGCTCACCTGAGCACTCTGGCTAGTAAACAGCAGAAATCATTTCAGTCTTGAAAAGTTTAAATACAAAAGTGGTTCGGGGGGGGGGGGCGGGGGGATTTGAACTTATTTGAATCTATACTTCATAGGGATGCTTTTGAATTGATATGACAAAAAATGGCCGTCTATTCTCCTGGGGGTCATGATTTGAACAAATTTGAATCTACATTACCTAAGGATGCTTCCATATAAATATGACCAATCACGGCTTTGTTGTTCTTGAGAAGAAGATTTTTGAAGATTTTTTCTAGGTATTCCCTTGTAAAACTTTGATCGCCCATTGTGGGCCTATCCTACCCCTGGGGGTCATGATTTGAACAAACTTAAATCTACACTTCCTAAGGATACTTCCATATAAATATGACCAATCAAGGCTTTGCTGTTCTTGAGAAGAAGATTTTTCCTATGTATTCCCTTGTAAAACTTTGATCTCCCATGTGGGCCCACCCTACCCCCGGGGGCATGATTTGAACAAACTTGAATCTACACTACCTGAGCATGCTTCCATATAAGTTTCATGTTTTCAAGCACAGTGGTTCTTGAGAAGAAGATTTTTAAATGATGCAATTAATTTTTCACGAATTTATAATTATCTCACCTTGGAAGAAGGGGGGGGGGGGAGGGGCTTCATTTGAACAAATTTAAATTCCCTTTATCCAAGAATACTTTGTGGCAAGTTTGGTTGAAATTGGCCCAGTGAATCTTGAGAAGAAGATGAAAATGTGAAAAGTTTACGACGACAACGACGACGACAGACAACGGACAAATTTTGATCAGAAAAGCTCACTTGAGCCTTCGGCTAAGGTGAGCTATAAATTCACTGAAGTTTTGTTCCTGACTAGTATACATGGATATAATGGATGCCATGGATTTTTTTTTAAAATTTCGATTTAAGTATCTATGCGTATTATGACAGTGCCAAAATGCATTTACCTTTGCATGTTGGGAGAGGTTTATCCAGAACTGGCAGGTTGTCACTTGTTTTGTCGCACGTGATAATAGTGGGTTCCTCTGTAGAACTATTTGCCATTTCATAGCCCTCAAAGCAGGACAAAGTGCATTTGGATCCATATATAAATTCTGCTTTATCACATCTAACATATCCATGCAGTGGCCAGACTATAGGATTGCAAGAAATCACTGAAAAGAATATAATTAATTAGCACTTTGCTTGTTTGATAAGAAGCTTATACGAACAAATTGATTTAAATGCTAAAATAGTATGTAAGAATTGCAAAGTATTGTAGTTAGAAGAAATGAACTCTTGGTTATTAATTGAATAAGCATAAATTATAACACATTAAACAAATAAATAAAAACAGAAGCATGTCCACGTAAATAATATTTCTTTTCGAGAGTAATGTCAACGTTCAATTCAAATATTGTCTCCGTAAAAGAGTATGTGTTATGGATGTTATGATAAACACGTTTGAAATTAGTTCTAAGGTCCATACATGTACTTAAAAGACAACTCATCTTTTCACTTTTCAGCACTGGAAACAATTTGTCCTTATTTTTTCTGACTTAGGATTCAACATTAGGATTCATTTCAATAGCCTGATCCTTTTCGCTCTTCATTTCAATCGGCGTTCAGGAATGCCCTCGCTTATTGACCAACTTTTTTCAAAGCTGATTTGTTGATGGAAAGAGTTAAATCAAAGGGACACAAAATACGAATAGTTATAAACAGAAAAAAGAAAAGTAAAATTCTAATAAACTTACCGGTCACTTTGAAGGAGAAGTAACAGTGTGTAGTGGCACCTCTGCTGTCTGATGCTCTATAGATGATTGTGTGAGATCCACTCTCAAAAGTACTACCAGGTGGACTTCCTTGAACCAAAGACACCCTGAGAGGATTAAATACATGTATATCACTTTGGATACCTTATATACATGTATATATACATGTATATATATATATAGAGAGAGAGAAAATTCTTGAAGAATCTAATTTCAATTCAGCAAGAATGCCTATAGAGAGAAAGAATATAATATCTACGATAAAGTGCCATCCTCATTATCAGAAGCAGATGGGGACGGCCAGGAAACAACTGTTGATCTTTGTCCATAGTCTGCGAATTGATCCGTGGGTCCATAGCAGGAATCAAAGTTAGGAGGTTGGTTTGGAGGAGGAGGGTCTGGTCATATCAGTAGAATCATAAAATGACTATAGGGTGTGATTTTTATATGTCTTTCATGCTCAATGAAATCGTTTATTTGGAATATCTTTACTCACCAGGGCAGAAAAATAAACAAATAAAACCGCCAACAACACCACCAATAGGACCCAGTATAGAACCATCAACAAAGCCTTTCGCAAATTTTCCAAATGCATCTCTTTTGCTCACATGATGTTTTGTTAAACTGACCTCTCCTGCAAAAAAAAAAGTACTGGTGTATTTTGAAGTTTCTGTGCTTATTTAACTTTTCATGATTTTCTTTCCCACACGTCTACAAGTTAAAACATAATGAACTGTTTAATCACATTTATTAGTTTCGAGAACTTAAAGCTTCTAATCCCAAAAATCCAAAAGACAAGTTATAAACAATACCGGTATATCATCGATTAAAATTAAAAACCTAAAAATGATACTCCTAGCAGTAAAGGGAGCACTGGATACAACTTCTAATAATACTTTAAACAGATCAGAAGGATCAGCAGTTCTCATCTGATCGGTACTGTGTTTGGAAACCACTTCCTCAATATGTGTTTTTTAAACCAAAAAAAACGTACCTTTTATTGAAAGTAAAGCAAATTCCTTGAACGATTGTGTTTCGCCAGTTCTGGACAATGTATAGTTTTCAATTCCATGTGCAGGCGTTGAATGCTTAAAAAATGAATATGGCAACAATTTGTATGACACAGTGTAAGAGAGATCTCTTTCGATCTTTTGGATTATTTATAAAACTCAGGGTAGAATTTACCTATTCTACATTCATTCACAGCACATATGAGTTATCATTTTTCTTCCATAATTACATATAATTTAATTTTGTTTGTATTCTTGCATCTGATTGGTTAATATCCAAAAAGGAACACAAATTATTTCTGTATAACCTGGTTTGGTATGGGGACACACACCCCTGACAACCAGCTGAATTATCTGTATCCATACAATCCTCTCATTTCCGCTTCGCGGATTATAAAGCGTAAACTGACCCAAACCAGGTTATACTCGAATAATTTGGCCAAGAATTAGAGTCATTCCTAAAATAATTTAATTCTGGTTATAACGCGGTATTTGATTGGATAAAAAATTACTTTATATCGTATAAATTGGGTTTCCTACGTCACAATGACTTGCGTCAAAAACGTACCGATCCGCCTGACGTTACATTTAAATTTTGTACAATTTGAACTCTTTTTTTTTAAGGGCAATCATCTTTTTTTCTCACACTAAATGAATGAAAATTAAATTATATTCGCGGTTTATAAAAAAAGCGTAAATTGTTCCAACCCACTTTATACCGTATAAATTGGGTAGCTATTAAATTCATTCCTTAAACAAATATTATTTCACTACCATATCAACAAAACATGTTTTCATTTAAGGAAGCAAAATTTGGTAGTTCAAAGTACTCCGTCTATATTTTGTTGCCGTTAACTTATTTTATTATCTATTTTATTATTTATTCATAGTGAATATATATCGACGGAAACGCAGATGCTTCATTAATGTTTTGAATTATTTGGCTCAAATTGATAGTATAAATAGCATATTCAAAGGGTGTTTCTATTCTTAGCATCGAACGTTAATATAAAATGTGTAAGTAGTATATAACACATGTTTATGAGCTAATGACACTCTATTTTGAAACTAAAACTGTATAATATACAGTTACCGAACAAACTATTAAAATACATCGGTATGGACCTTTTAAACGACCAATTTACAGACATGAAGCACCACTTTAATTAGGTCGCCTCCTCGCATTCGATTTCTTTGCGCATGACGTCAGCACATAAATACATAAAATTCCAATCGTTCAAACTTACACGTGGGCAAAACACGTGTGGAGTTTTCACAAAAACATAAAAGTGCTGTGAAAAGCACAGAAAAGAACAAATGATTTTTCATTATGCCCCTGTATCGAAGATTCGGGGGTATATAGTTTTAGCCCTGTCCGTCTGTCTAGCTGTCTGTCTGTTTGTCCGCAAAAACTTTAACATTGCACATAACTTTTGATTGATTGGAGCTATGACTTTCATATTTCACATGTGTGTTTTTCTTTGGGTACCACCATATTTGACATTTTGACCCTGACCTTGGAGTTTGACTCAGTTTTGCAAAATTTTACCGAACTTTAACTTTGGCCGTATTTTTTCATTTATCTTTCATACTTCACATGTGTAATCCTTGTGACAAGACCTTTCTTTTCATACCAACAACTTTGACCCTTTGACCTTGACCTAAGAGTTTGACCTACTTTTTAAAAACTTTAACCTTGGCCATAACTTTTGAATGGTTGGTGCTAGGGCTTTCATACTTCACATGTGTAATCCTTGTGACAAGACCTTCCTATGGATATCAACAACTTTGAACCTTTGACCTTTAAAGCACAAATCAGTATTGAAAAGTTTACACGGGAGTGAGGGGGGGGGGGGCAAACTTGAATTTTACACTACCTAAGAATGCTTCTATATATTCTAATATAACTAATGGCAATGCTTTTCTACAGCAGAAGATCCATAAAGATTTAAAAAGATTTTGTAAAACTATGATTCCCGATTGTGGCCCCTCCCTATGCCCGGGGGGTCATAATTTTAACATACTTGAATCTACACTACCTGAGAATGCTTCCCTATTAATAAGACTTATCATGACTCTGCTGTTTTTGAGCAGAAGATTTTTAAAGATTTTTTCCTATATATTCCTGAGTAAAACATTGATACCCCATTGTGGCCCCACCCTACCCCGGGGGGTCATCATTTGAACAAATTTGAACCAACACTACCAGAGGATGCTTCCATATCAATGTGACGAAACATGGCTTTGCTGTTCTTGAGAAGAAGATTTTTTTAAAGATGTTTTCCGATATACTCCTATGTAAAACTTTGATCCCCAGTTGTGGCCCCACCCTACCCTGGGATTCATCATTTGAACACTGAGGATACTTCCATAACAATATGACTAATCCTGGCTTTGCTGTTCTTGAGAAGATTTTTTAAGATTTTTTCCTATATACTCTTATCTAAAATTTTGGTTCCCCACTGTGGCCCCACCCTACCCCCAGGGATCATCATTTGAACAAGTTTGAATCTACACTACCTGAGGATGCTTCCTTATCAATACAGCTAAACATGGCTCTGTTGTTATTGAGAAGAAGATTTTTAAAGATGTTTTCCTACATGTATATACTCCTATCTAAAATTTTGATCCCCCATTATGGCCCCACCCTACCCCCAGGGGTCATCATTTCAACAAACTTTAATCTATCTAAACTATGTCAAGAAACTTCATATAAGTTTAAACTTTTTTGGCCCAGTGGTTCTTGAGAAGAAGGTTTTTTAAAGATACCACAATATTTTCATTATTTCTGAATTATCTCCCCTTGAGAGAGAGCATAGCCCTTCATTTGCACAAACTTGAATCCCCTTTACGTAAGGATGTTTTGTGGCAAGTTTGGTTGAAATTGGCTCAGTGGTTCTGGAGAAGAAGTTGAAAATGTGAAAAGTTTACAGACAAAAAGACAGACAGCTAGACAGACAGACAGACGGACGGACTATAGACAAATGTGATCAGAAAAGCTCATTTGAGCTTTCAGCTCAGGTGAGCTAAACATGGCAACAGCATCACACATGATTTGTTCACGTGACAGTTTTTGTATTTGTATGTGACGTCTTGCGAAAAGAAACCGAATGGCGAGGTGGCTATCGACCTAATTCAAGTGATGCTTGTGATAGGGCCGTTTAAGTTATAGAAGAATCATTCCTTTACTGAGTTCTCGAGTCTCGGAAATTAGATCTGCGAAGTAAAGTTGAAAAAGGTAGGCAGAGTCGTGACACCAGTTGGTATTGCTGAACTTTCACTTTCAATATGGCCTCGGCTCTGACTCTCCCCCGCATAAGAGAGGAATCTCGGACTATGATTTATGATAAATTGACAATATTAATCTTCTTCAATCTACATTATGAAGAAATACTTCCACGTTGATTTGACAAATGTATCATTGTTTTAAACATATATTTTTTGTTTTCCCTTGTATCTTCCAGAGAGAGAGAGAGAGAGAGAGAGAGAGAGTAACCAAGTCGCCTTTGAGTGCATTTTCTATAAGTCAATGAATTTAAAAGTTTACATACATCTAATTTTAGTGCATATAGCGAATATATCTTGAAAAAATAAGATAATACATTGAAGTGTTGAGAACCAGCTGAATACAATTTGAATTAGAAAATGTTTAAAAGACTTAAAAAGTGAATTTTCAATAAAACCGACAGAACATACATCAATTAACCATCCAGAATATATAGCAATCGTATAAAGTAAAGATGCAAGTAATCTATCCATAACTGCGAAAGAAATTTCTATCAAGTAAATCCCTAGAACTGCAAAGGAAAAGAGTCAATAAAAAACATTGACATCCAATTTAAAATTTTGTATCATTGGGGGGGGGGGGGGTTATGAGTCATATTTCAACGGGGTTCAATTTCTTATAGGATGTACTTGTAGAAAATTGCCCCTAGGGTTCTTTTCATACAACATATTACTTCTTTCTACGACCGGGATTCATTTTATTTTATTTCTACTAGGGTCATTATTTCGTACTTATACACCGACGGCAAACGCGATACCTAATATGACAATTGTGTCCTACAGTGATACATATAGCAAATGACTCTTTTCTATCATTCGGGTGAAAGCAATAAATATAAATGATCTGAAATAAATGTCAGTAATTGCGAGGGAAACAATCATTCAATAAATCCCACTCTCAAAGAAATCAAAGATGCTGTCTTGGACTCGGTAAACTTTTTCCTGGATGGTAAAAAATGACCCCTTTGTGTGAGATTTCTCTATCCTACTCTAATATAACTGATTCTTATAATCACTCTCTGCATAATAATATAATGTGAATGTTATTTTTTCACCTTGTTTCATTTTTCCTTGAGAGAAAAGGAAATTCCACAGTGTTATTTCACAAAGAAGTCGTCATTTTATACCGTTAGAAAGGGAAAAATTTAACACGCTGCTGTCAACTGAACTTAGTTTTGAGAATACTTTGATATATTGGCATACTTGTATGCAACTATTTATGTACGCATATTATTTCAAAAGTGTATGATTAATCATTAATTAAAATATTTGATCCTAGGGTCTGTTTTGCAAATTAACTCACGACAAAGACCAGCATTTGATTTTGCGAAATTAACTTTCGTCTGTAATTAATTTGAAAATGGTATTAAACTTTTTCGAAAGCATTTTAAAAGATCCTTCTTGCAAGCAATTTTAAAAAAAAAAAATGATTAATTCCGAAAGATTTTACAGTCATCTAAGTTTTTGATCCTAGTCGTAAGTTCTTTTGTAAAATGGAGCCCCGATTCCTTAGAAACACAGCGTACTTACATGTACACGTAAGCCTCCGGCAAGTTTGTCAGCGGGCGTTAATTTACATCTTATAATGAATATCATGGAATAGAGCACCACTACTGTTGGTTTCATATTCTAAT